CTATATATAAAGCAAAGGATCAATGTAACATGAATCAACTTTGGCATCAGTTGAGTACTATAATAGAAGAACTTCAATACTATCTAAATAATGAAAGGAGTCAAACCTAATTGGCAAACTGCATAGACAAATTCTAGCCACTAGAAGCTACAAAGATTATAAGATAAAGCCTTCATATAAGGCTAAAGTAGAAATAAGTACAAGATAAAACCTCATCCAAGTTTCTCAAGGCATGTAAGGAGTAGTTGACAACCTTCCACATAAAAAAACTTGCTAATGAATACATGTAATTGTATGACAGTCCAGAGGTTTTGATACACTTATGCCAAACTTACTACCATGAGTTATATCAAGTCTACTTAAACATAAAAGAGATAAGGAAAGATGGACAATAAACAATAGAAGGAACCTCTAACCAATTAATCAAGGGATTCAAAGAGGACTATAAGAGATCACTCATCTAATATAAAATTTCAATGGCACTAAATTCCATATTAATCGATAATTCACTTGATTCTAGTAGAATCATTTTAAAATTCTATGGGACGTTTTGAGATATTTTAAAATATTAATATTTAGATATGTTGCTTGGAAGTATTAATTAAGATAGCCTCTTTAATGACATAACTCAAGGCCATATAACCTTGATTTATAAGAGTAGATCAAAGCATAATTTTTTTTAATTAGAGAGCCATTAAATTATTTAATTTAAGCTATAATATTTAAGCCAAGGCCTAATAACTTTGATTTTAACCAATATTTATGCACATTATTAGCATGAATCAATCTACATTCCTATTAAGATGATATATTTTGAATAACCTATTATTAATCCATGAAACTATGGAATGGACAAAAAAATCAAGCCAATCAATATTTTTTTTAAAACTTGACTTTTCAAAGACATATGATATAATAGAATATAATTTCTTATTCAAAAAACTAAACAATATGGAATTTCTATAGAAATTCGTCCAAATAGAAAAAATACTACTTATAAATATTAAAGCTAGTATTAAAATTAATGGCTCTTTTTCAACCTTTTTTTATGATTGAGAGAGATATAAGACAATGATGTCCACTAATATCCTACTTATTTCTTATAGTGGTAATTTTTTTTTGATTCAATGATAATAAAGAAAGCTAAAGATGTTACAATTAAAGGAATATAATATCTTATGATGAATCAATAATAAATTATGGCATAGTATGCGAATGACACATCTTTTATCTTGATAGGCGTAGAAAGCAATGTAAGGCACATGATTGGATTTTAAAGATTTTTTTCCAAGGATTGAGACTCATTATTAATTGGCTTAAGTCTAGTGGGCATTTAGAAAGTAAACATATAGTAGTACACTTTCCATGGACAAATAAACTTGGCATCACTTAGGTAGATAAAAGAAGTATATATGAGCTAGTAGATGCCTCATTTGGTCTTTCTTTCAAGTCAACAGAATTTGATACCTTCTTACAATAAAAATCAATAAAAAAACTAATCCTTTAGAATTCAATGATGGTTAAGGTAACACGTAGAAGAATTGTCCTTAACATTGTATTATTAACCATAATATTTTTCATCTCATTATAAGAAGGCATCAAAAAAGGTATAACTAAGATCAAAGCCTCAATTGGTAATTACTTAGTAGGAGAGACATTACAATGTGTTTACACAAAAGTTGCATGAATACAATGTTATCAATCTATAAGCAAAGGATAAATTAATCTTATTAATCCAACTCATGCAATGGAAACATTGATGGTCAAATAGATAATTAAAGCAATGAAGGCAAGTAATTTCAACTTATACCTAATATTGAGATATTACCTAAACCAATTTCAACCATTTACAAGAAGGAGATGGCACTCAAGTTTAGAATTCTTCACTCTATAAAAACATCAAAGTAAGAAGGATTCTATAGTATGGAACAAAATTGCACATCATGGAAGATCCTTCTTCTCTGTATCTCATACATAAATCCAACATGCCATAAAAAATGATTTATATATAATAAGTTGCTTCAATTCAAAATCTCTAGAATTGGCTTAGGATTCTTTACAACCATGGTACCAATTTTGCATAATAATGGATTACAAACATATAGGGATATATAGGCACAAGACAATTTTGTAAGCTTCATGAAAGATCAAAATTAGTTTAAGTTAAAATAGAAAGGAGAAAGAACATGGATGATGTTGACATCTTTGCTTCGTCAATACTAGAGACAATTCACAATAGGTCCAATCATTCATCTTTGCAAGAGAAAGTGGGTAGAATTATTTCCTTCCAAAGAGGCATTGTTCTCTATAGTAGTGTGACAAAGCAACTGGAATTATCAAGTGGACCTACAAGCTACAAAACATTGGATATTCCTTGAAGTTAAAACATATGTAATGGAACCCTAGTCACAAAGTAATACAACACCACCTCTTGTATATATAATACCATATGCAAGGACCGTCCTAATTTTAACACCTCTTGTATTGTGTATTATATATACAAGAGGTGGTAACCCAGAAGTCTGGAGGTATGCTACTGGCAAACTTTAAGCTCAATTGGGCAAATACATTGGATAAAAGAATAGATGCGTAAATAAGCAGGCCTTCTTTGGTTAACATGGCAGTGAGCGGTGGTTGTTAATAAGTGGAGAGGTGGAATAGATGGCAGTATCAACCAATGCTACCCTTTGTGTTTGATGGAAATTAGAGAATCTGTCCATCATCGTTTTTGGGAGTGTTCCTCAGCCACTAAAGTGTGGAAGTGGGGGATTTACATACTACAATTAATGGCAAACATAGACCAAGGTGGTAGACAACAGAGAACGCCAATTTGAAATGCAATCATGGGGGTGCAAGGTGAGGAACATGAAGAAAGGACTCGCAGTACAGGCGTTAGGATCAGCCACCACCCAAGCCTCACACAGTTCTAGCCCTCGTGGAAACATTATCTTTTTGCCTACAAGATTCCTAGAAGGTTTAAAGCTGTGAGCAGAGTTTGGCTACTGATGAGAGGTACGACTGTCTGGACTCTTTGAATTGAGAGAAACAATGCCGCATTCAATGGTGTGCACTAGGCAGATGAAAAATTATACTAGACCATCTGGTTGCACATCGTCAACTATGGGAGAAATGCTTGGTTTAAAACCCAATAGCAAATGCACAACACACCACCACGAGCAAGAGAGTGGGCCCAGAAGTTTCATCAACAGTGGTGCAAGGACAACATTCTAGCATTGTGGCAGCACAGTAAATCAAACTGGAAACTCGTTGGCCCCAGTTGGGAGTTCATAGCTAGTTGTAGGTCGTAACTTAATTCACAAGACCGGACCTGGCTGGGGCACTGTATACTAACCTTCTGCAATAAAGAAAATCTTTATTTGCATCAAAATAAAAATAAAAGGTTGATTCACAACCTGAAGGAGCCAAAAGTTATTCAAATGGTGAAAGTCAGAATATAACAAGGGGAAAAATAAATAAATTGATCAATGGTTACCATACTCATAAAATGCATTGCCAAGGTACATTCCAAGCGTGTTAAAAGTGGTGTAGTCACAAATCACATCACTTGTCTGTATTGTCTCTTTAATTGAGATCTGTGATCGCAATTATTCAAAGTAAGGCTATTGTCATAGTAAAGGGCTTAATATTGGTTGACCACAGATTGTGCTCAAAGTGACATCAATGAAACTATTTGTGGTTCATTTCCGTGTTATATGATTATTTTACAAAAAGTCATGTATGGCTGATTTCAAGCGTCAAGTATGTAATTCACCACTGCACAACATTTATTAAATAACCTAATTCCTTCACACCCTTTCATATTATTTTATTCCTTTCTTTTTTACGAAGGAAGTTATAGGATGAGACCGTATACCAAACAGATTTTTCCCTGGGTACGGGCTAAATACAGGTGAAGGAGGTGGGGCCATGAGTAGAAGAAGCAGGGCAGAGAGAGAGAGGCAGGGAGGGGGAGAGGTACCACTGCCATCAACAGAGTAGAGCTGGTGTTGGTGGCCCAGTAAAAGCTGGCATGATCAGCCTTAAACCTGGCCTTTCAGGAGGTGGTGGGGAGGGGGAGGGAAGTACTACAATACAGACACAGACACAGACAGACACAAAGACGGACCAACGGACAAGCATGTGAGCATCTTGTCCTCAAAGATGCTGTCCTCCAATGCTGCTGCTGGTATGTGTGTGTGCATGTGTTGGCCCTCTGCCATCTCACCAACCCCATCAGCCTCCTCTTAATCTCATCATACTTTCACCTAGGCCGTAGAGGCTTGCAATTAATCCTCTTGATGTGAGCTTCACTGGAGAACTTGAACAATGACTTCAGACCTTTGAGATTGAAAAGAGAAGAGTGTGGATTTGATTTCCACTTCAGACAACATGTTCTATAGGAGTATGCAACTCCTCCCATGTTGTAACTGTTTCAGAGTGGATCGAGGAGATGATTTTTTATTGACAGAGAGAAAGAGAAAAAAAAAAAAAAAAAAGAAAGAAAAGAAAAAAAGAGTATGTGAGAGACGGTTGTGCAGGTGGCCTGCTTATGCCAAACCCCAATATAGGATCACAATTGTCAGCTCCTGTACGTTGGTGAAGCCGACGTCATTGTGTATGATTGGACCACCGGCAGGAAAGGGAATTAAACATTAAAACAAGCATGATGAGAAGGGTTGATGTCCATTCCCGAGAAGCAAAAATGACGGGAAAAGGCCGGTCATGAACCCTTGGTGTCATGCATTTAGGGCGTTTCTAGCAGTTGCTGATTTGCATTACCAGCCAGGTATGCAGAGCAAAGAAGAACAAAAAAGAAGTTTTTGTCCTTCGTTATTCTGGTGAAATGGCACTTGCGGCTAGACCCTTTCCTCCAAGGAAGCAGGGACCCGAACCCGCCACTCTGTTTCTTCACGCGGATCTTGTTAGGACTAAGATGATTGCATATAAGGTACATGCAAAGGCTCAATTTGACGACTCCAAGTGAATGCCAATGATACAGATTTCAGGCCTATATAAATCCCGCATAACCGCAAGAAAAATTTGCACGTTGATGATTGCTGTCTACCCCGCACTCATTGGAGTAGCAATGATACAGTATGTACCCTACAACCCTGAAAAAAATATAACATTTAAAAGCTGTCCTGTGTAATCAAGGCTATTATATTGTCGCGCCATGTCACAAGAAATGTCATTCGCCTCTATGTACACTGCTGTTCAAACGAGTTCAGCGCAACTGAACCAGACATCATATATTTCCGTACAGAAGCTCAAACTTTGGTACTCTCTCCTTTGGAAGCGGGCAGGTTACAATTAGCTTCCCTTTCATAGCACCCCTAAAAATCACCTGCATGACATAATTCATACGTTAAATTTGGATGTACATACTGGCTCCATAAGGAAAAAGGACAATCGTAGTTAAACCAAGATCAGAGGCTAACGTCAAGCAATAAACCTGAAACAAAAAAAAAAGAACCAAAGTTCCTACACCAAAATATGTTACATTTATTAAGTTGTAGTAATTCATTCCAAACAGCAATCTTACCGGATCAAATTGTCACGAGAAATGAACAATTAGACAATTAGCATCAAGATGCACATGATAAGGAACAATCTAGATCTACCAACATGTCCCCGAAACATGATCCTGACAAGCATGCAGGTAAAGAATTTCAATCTGAAATGCCAGCGTCTCGACACTACCGTATTTTGATTCTAAAATTATTTTTCATGTATAATCACACATGCATAAGATTAGCAAAGGGGTAAAAGAAGAAGAAAGACCAAGATACCTCGACGACATCGATGAAGTCCTGCTTAGAGTGAAAAGCTCCAATCCATTTTGTATGATCAGGAGTCCTGTCAACATCAAATGTGTTCTCGTGAAGCTAAGCATAAAAACTCGACAATAACAATTGTAAGGAATGCAAGAATACTGGCACGTATTTCGAGAAGACTTAGATGAGGATCTGTTCACTGCAAAAAGAAATATTTTTTCACCAAGAGGATATATTAAGGACTAATGTGAAGCGTGTTAATAAGGAAAATATGTCGATAGCATGCACCGTACCCAGAGTCCATCTTCATGTGATGCGCATTGAAAAAGAAAATCGTGGCTGGAATGAGAGTAATGTCAAAGTACTTAATGTAAGATTGAATTTCAGGGGCATCAGCGTCAACCAATCCGATAGCGGCGAACTTGCTCACATCTCGAACAGATTTTGCAATCTGTACCCACGACAAGCGACTAAATTTCATTGGAGCATTTAAAATTTATCAACATGGAATTTTGCATAAAAACACTCTCTCATTCAAGTTAAACTTTCTAATCAAAGATTTTCAAAACAAATTCTTAAAAAATCTGCGAACACTTAACACAACATGACAAAGATCTCAAACAACACATACTTCAAGAATTATCAAATCCAAGAAAAAGCACGAAGAAAGGAATTCACAATCATTAACCGAACATAATTCAGAAGAGTGGAGGGCACTCACAATCTCATCAAGTTGCATGCAGACGACATCAGAAGTACGGCCAAAACGAAGAACGAGCACTCTATCGATGGTGTTAAGAATAAGGTTGTCCACGTCCACCTTCCTCGTCAAGCTCTCTAACAAGTAGCTCATCTTGGTCCAGAATCAATTTGACAACGATGCAGCTGAATCGCACTCCGCAAACGTGAATTTTACCGCGCGATCGAGTCACCCTGCACACCAGATGCGCGGTCAGATTATTCCTGTGCGTCGCACCTGCATGGAGATATCAGCCATTCGGGGCATAGCAAGCTACAAACACAACAAAACACCACCCCAATATGAAATCCAGCAACGTTTAGATGAAACTTCAATTATCTATCAAATAGGCCTTACTCACTGCTGCGGTTGTTGTCTCATTCTGTATGGTTAAAAATATTATTCGAGAACAACATCAAAAACTCTAAACCCAAATCGATGCATAAACCAATTGTAACATACGAGGAATTCTGACCAAGTTGCCAAGCACCACAAGGGCCGCTATCCCCCTCTTTTCCCCAACTCCTTCGCCTACGGATTTGAGGCAGCCCCGACTACCCTAAATTACACAAAATACATACAATTCCGATTTAGGTTTCCATACCACTTAACAGCTGCTAAATCACAAATTCCGCTCCCTCGTGATTCTCAGTGTAACACCTCCACCTTTCTGGGACCATTCTGACACAGTTTCTTCATCAAAATGTGCAATTAATCCTGCAATCAAACTCTACGCCTTCGTCATGCTCTGTTTGTGAAAACGGATGCTCCTAAAGACTAAGACATTGGACAAAATCTTAAAATAATCCATCCGCAATCTCTGATTAGTGCAAACAGAAACCCGACCAAATTCACCTCCCCAAATTGACATAAACTGGACGTCGATCGATGCTATGAATCGCAACCTACAAACATGAGTTGGGAAACACGATTTCAAACCATTCGAGATTGTTTTCGCAATCGCAGCAGCACAACAGAAATTGAGGGCAGGGATGAAGTGAGCAATGCAGGGGGTATACATACGAACCTGGGGACCTTGATTGGGTTCGCTGGCCATAGCCATGGGTGGAGCATACGAGTCTGCCATAGCCGCACAATTTTGAAGCAAATTGTGGGCAGAAGAGGAGAAGAAGGAGAAGGGAAAATATAATTTTATAGTTAGACCCAGTTGGTCTGTAAGGAGGTCATGTAAAATTGTTTCTAGATTTCTAGATAAATATTTGTAGGATGTGTTCAATTAATATATATTTATATTAGTGGTTAACTCATTGGCTTTGCCAGAATCAAGTACATTTTTGGCAGTCAATCAAAAAATAAAAATAAAAACACAATATATCAATCAGTGCTCTTAACTGCAATTATAAAAAAAAGAAAAAAAATGGTATCATGTCAGATAGGAGTGGGTCAGGTTCATTTGCAGTGTTGCTAATAACCCAACTTGTCCTATCCTTTGATCTTAGTAACTTGGCAGTAATTGGGTTTAACCACCCTATTGCTCTAGCCAATGGGATTTTTTGACACTAGAGCCAAACATAGGTTGGTCAATTTTTTATATAAATAGATATATTGAGGAATATTATATAGATCCAAGCTTTTACTAAATAGACCCACCTTTGATGATGAATATGATAATCATGACAAATATGGTTTGTTTTTATTGGTTATAGATTGATCTAGTAAAAACTTGGGTCTATTTAACATTCATGAATGAATGAATATATATATATATATATAAATATAAATAAATATACATATATATATATATATATATATATATATATCACTTGATAAATCATAAAATTTTCAGCATGTCATTCAAAGTTAGTAAGTTGAAAATGATAAAAGTAGTCAAAAAGTAGCCTAAATGAATGAAAGTACATTTATTTTAAAATAGTGAAGTATTCAAGAAATAAATTAACAAAAAAAAAGTAAATCAAGCTCTCTTAGCCACGATCTAAGTCTAAATTAAAAAGTGAATGATCATCAAAAATAATTCTTGATAAGTTTATAAAACTTTTTTGAACAGATTTTTGTATTAAAATTTAAGAACAAATATATTTAAGAAAGGATTCAACCTCCTCTTTGTTGCTCTTTGAGTTTGGATGGTAGTAGGTAGAGAGCACAACTGTTTATCCAAACTCAGTCTTGAAGATGATATTTTGCACATGGAAACTCATTTGTAAGGTTGAAGTTTAGACTAATTTTTTTGGATTACTGTTAGTGCTTTTGGTACAAAAGTCAAGATATATATCCATATAGCATTGCTTCTTTTAACTTGTATTTTAAAAATGTTTGCGATTGTTATTTGACTCAAAAATTGCATAGAAGAACTAATATCTCTCTTATCTGTATTCTAGTTGAAGATTACAATTGTTAAAATTAAATGAATAAACATTTTACTTATTTTATTTAGACTATAATTATTTACCTCAAAAATTGCATGTAAAAAAGTTGATTCTATTAATGAAGAAGTTAAAGTTGTATTTAACATCAAAATTACATATACACACACAAAAATTTATTAATCATGAATAATTTCTGAATAAATAAATTTTATCAAAATAATTTTGCAAATGAGAGTTCATGTTTAAACACCAATTAAAAATAGAAAAAATCGAACATTTCAAGATGTTACTATTATTGTTACTGTTTTCACCAAATTATTGATTACTAAAAATGTATTAAATGAGTACACATCGTTATGAAACAAACTATAATGTAATAGATTTAAACTGTGCAAGATGCTGTCATCTTTAATAGGAGACATTGGCCAAGACAAAAGAAATACAAAAGGTGTAAAATTACATCAACATTATTGTGTATAACCACAACAAACTGTAGTTTGAACATGAAGCCATGATTCAGACAATCTCTATACAAATCTTTCTTAAACATTCAACTGTAACATTTTGCAACCATAAGGGTAAACCATTTCAGGGTATTTCTCAATCATTCCTCAAACCTGGGAGTAACTAGACAACCACAATTTCCTTACAACAGCTAAAATCCAGTTCAGCCTGAAACATCACAAGATGCTGTAAAATTAGCTATCCTGTTATTGATTTCTACGTAAGCAAAGTTACCCATTTTGTTGATGTATTAAATTTCGCAACTAGTGAACAATGTACCAATACTTGAAGGCAATGTAACAAAGCACGTCTGAAGTTGCTCCAGAAAGAAAGCCAATCAGTATACTCAAATGTTGTCGTAGATCAGTTGAAGTAACTACATCATGTGACCTCAAAGTGTCGATAATCTTGGTTTCTAGTAAACAAACACTACCGATTGTGGGATGATAAAAAACAACTAAATCATGCAGCATTCATACCAGAGCAGCAGCAACAAAAACTGAAGAAAAAATGATTGCTCGCATGATATGATCAGATACGTAACTGATTGCTTCTGTAGTAATGTTTTTGTCAATGATTCTTCAAGTGAAAAATTGTTGCTCGAATGCATGAGGCACTGAATTCCCGAAGCCTTCGTGCGAGGGGAGGTGGTCCTTCACGCCGCAAATGAAATCCGAATGTTTCCGATCCTGCCAACAGTAGTGCACACGAAGGGGCTAATAAGATAGGTGGCACTGCAGCATCGTCAGGATAGCAAGGTGCATTAATCGTGAGATAGACAAGCAAAGTTCGGAACACTCACGAGACGACTTGCAGGTAAACAATGCATCAGACATTGATCTGTTCATGCTTCGCGTGAAATTAGTAGAGAAAGGTTAAGTAAGTGAATGCTGCTGATGCATCTGAAGTTTAGGGTTTGAAGTTTAGCTCGGAGTGGACAGACTCGAGTAGTGTTCAAATTCTAGGATCCGTGACGCATGATAGTACACAGCTTATGGCGTGGTGAGATTTGAACAAAGCATGCTCAAATTTACAAAACAATTGCAAATTTCTTTGAGCATGACTGCAGCATCCCATACATTAGGAACAGGAATTTCCCTAGAGGAATAATAACAGTAAAATGATTTCAAACCTCCATACTCGAAACTTGGAACTTATCGATGAACAGGGACGTGAAGCTCCCGAAGTTTCAACAACATTACAATGTACAGTACAAATTATGACTACTGAGAGTGCAGGAGAACGAAAATTACTTTGAGATGCATATGGTGATGGCTGGAGGCCTGGTTACCTGATTAATAAGGCATCGATTACACGATGTGCTCCGTAAGAGCCGCTCCTCCTGTTTCAACTGCTGCAGGGTCGGACACTCCTGGACGCGGAGTAAGTGCATTGGAGGTCGCTATCTCTCCGCCCCTTCCATGATAGCGAGGAACAATGTCTCTTCCTTTGGTTGTTTCTTGCCGAAATTTGACAAATTACTTGTCACGGATTCTGTGAGTGAAGATGAATAGAAACTCATGTCTAGTTGGAAAAGCATTTTCAAGAGGTTTCTAATAATCTGTAGCTTTGAAAGTTCGATTGAGATGTGACCCAAAATTTGTATTTACAAATCTGGAGAAAAACCCTTGATGACCGCCCACGGTGATGATGCCCGGAGTGTGTCGGGTATTAGTTTCATTTGCATTTGAGCTTTCTTTGAAGTGTGCGGAGGTTTTGTATTCCGTTGGTTGCAGTGAAGTTTGCTTCCGAATTGGGCAGCTATGACGGACTCTAATGCTCCACCCATGGCTGTGGCCAGTGAACTCCATCAACGCTCTCAGGTTTGTGTTCTCTTGCTCGATCATGATATCTCCGTGCAGCGGTCACTCCATCCTTGCCCTCAATTTGTGTAGTGTAGCTGCGCTTGTGTAAGCATTCACGGAAGGTTGAAGTCGTCTTTTCCAACTCATATTTGTGAGATTATGTTTCAGTGTGTCGATCGACGCACAGTTGACGTGAGTTGGTGGATAATTTGGGGAGGTGCATGGGTTCTTGGGCTTCTTTCACCGTTGACCAGAAAATGCAGATTCATGGTTTTTAGGCTCATTTTAATAGATTTCTTTTTCCGTTTATTTATTTAGGTTAGCATTAAGAAGGTGTAGAGTTGAATTGCAGGATCGATTGCACATCGTACACACTTTGATAAAAATATTGTGTCAGTCTTGTCCCAGCAAGGCAGAGGTGTTACAGTGGAAACCGCGAGAGTGCGGAATTCGTGAATATGTAGTTGTTAAGTTGTATGGAAACCTAACTCGGAATTTTACGTATTTTGCACAATTTTGGGTAGTCGGGGCCGCTTCAAATGTCTAGGCGAAGGAGGAAAGAAAAGAGGCGGAGAGCGGCCGTGGTGGTACTTGGAGACCTGGGCAGGAGTCCTCGTATGCAATACCATGCTCTGTCTCTCGCTCGTCAGGTACTTCATAATGCCCTATCCGTGTCTTCGTGTTGTTCTTGTATCTGTAATAAAGTGTGGATCAGCATTGTCGGTAGCAAGATTCTTAAATGAATGAGGCGAATAGTCGGTTAATACAGGTTTTTAGGTGAGTCGATATTGCATTCATATCTTAGAGGGAATCTGTATACCTTTATGGAGTAAAATTGTTCGTCCGTATTCGCAGTTACTGTGGAGAGGATTATCATGCTTTTCAGCCGGTTTATTTTTACGGTTTATTAGTCTTTGCTCGTTCAAGCGCCCTAACTGATGTTTACTGATTTCTTGCATGGAAGGCTGGTCTGCACGTTGATGTGGTGGCACTTGCAGGTAAAATTTCAGAAATTGAATATTTAGAGGATCCTGAAACTGCTAGGAGAATTTTCTTAAGAACGTATATATGGTTGTTTTTATGGTCTGAATTGAATGGAAGTTCAGACAGATAAAGCGTGTATAGGATTAAATGTTCAATTCAGACTTATTGAAGGTGTAATTGTGTATGTTGTCTGTAATTGTAATAGGAACGGAGCCCCATGCCGGACTTTTACAACATCCATACATCCATCTTCATCTCATGGTGATTTGATCGTTAACCGTGACTTGCTGCGACCACTTTTAGAACCTTGTAATCATTCCAGCAAATGAGACTTAGGAGAGTGTTATCGTGCACGCTTCTCTCTCTTGAAATGTGCAGATCTCAATCCCAATCTTCCGTAATGAGGTTTCTTCAATTGTGTAGAACCATTAATGCTGTAAACGATAAACCCTAGAGCATAACTTTGCCATTAGTTGTAGGTTGCGATGTTGCTTGCTTCCATGGTAGTTTTGTTTATCAGGTCGATTAGACTTACAGAAACGAATGAGATAGGATTTTTCTAAGTTTTCGACGTTCCATTATTACATGGAACATTTGATACTTTTATTTTTATTTTCTAATAATATTAAAATTAATTCTACGTTGATTTTTATTTATTTAAATTTCTCCGTTCATTATGTGCAGAGAGCTCCTTTTCCGCAAGGTCTACCTCGGATATTGTATCTCTTGCTTTTACCGGTGAAACTGATGATACAATTTTTAACACTTGTATGGTTCCTATGTTTTCAAATACCTGCTCCAGACTTTTATTTGGTACAGGTATGCAATTTGTGAAAATAAAACACACACACACTCTCTCTCTCTCTCTCTCTCTCTCTCTCTCTCTCTCTCGCTCTCTCTCGCTATTTGAAGTGCTCGTATTTGCAGCAGCACCTTGACTTTATAGGTTCAGTTTGTAATCGTTTCCTGTTTTTTTGAACAGAACCCGCCGTCAATTCCTACATTGTCAGTGGTGAGGATTGCCTGTTGGCTCCGTCAGGCCGCTTTTATTATCGATTGGCACAATTTTGGCTATACTATTTTGGCCCTATCTTTTAGCCCAAGACATCTTCTTGTGAGGCTTCATACCTGGTAATCTACAAATATGTGATTTAGGAATCTAAATTTAAGTTCGTGTAGATCCGTTGTGCATTTGCAAGGACTAAAAGGTGGGCTTTTGTTCTACCAGTTTAATAAAATTCTGGAACATGCAGGTACGAAAAATTAAATGGAAAGACAGCAGATGGGTACTTATGTGTGACCAAGGCTATGCAGCATGAATTAGAGCAGAACTGGGGAATCCGGTATGTGAAATCTGTTGAAAAATTATCCTTTTATGGTCAGGAGCATTTCCTGCAAGTCTTAATGAATAATTAATTGGTGGGTAACTTATTTTGTGATTTTAAGAATACCTTTTTGACATTTCAAACATTGTATTTTGTTACCGGCTACATTCTAAATGGTTTCGAACACATTTGCAATTTGGTGCAGGGCTACTGTTGTCTATGATCGTTCTCCTGAATTTTTTCGACCAATAACTTTGAAAGAGAAGCATGAGGTGGGTTTAATTTTTTCGTTGGGTACATGTGTCTGCTTAGATGCCGTTCTCATTTCTGAGGAGCCATGCATCAAATGTTGTTTAGTCATGCAATCTCAAAGCTATGTGACAGGAATAAATGTATTCTCTCTTTAAATTTAATCAATCCAGAAATATTTCATTAACCTCATAGATAGTGCTTCCTATTATTGTCAGCTGTTTTGCAGGCTAAATGCGGCTTTTACTCAACCCCCTGGTGGTATGCGGGATTGCTGTTGTGATGGGGTACTTGAAGTCCCAACACTAGCAAACAAAGATGGATACGCTGATTCTGGTTGGTGATTTGTCTGACTATTGGTTTCTCCACTCATTGTCTGCAGATGCCATCTTGTAGCTTTGTATCTATATTTGTGGTAACCGAGTTTGGTTCCAGAGGATACTGTTTAAGGTGGTTTTTGTAGTAGTCCATGCCTCAACTCAAAATTTTTGAGCTTGTAACTCAAATTTTTCTCTGTGAGCCTCTTTAAAAAGAGAAGCTATGTAGTTACTTTCTGTTCTTCTTGCGACGGATGTATTGTGTTGCTTTGCCGGGATGGTTTAGTACAAAATTACATCTCATTCATTACTCCTAAGTATGTTGAGCTTGTCGGTGTTCCATGTCACAGCCTTATCTCAAAACCAGCCACACTAATACTTTCCTTGTGTTGTGATGATGAAGGTGAAGGCCCCTCTGTACGCGTGGAACGCTCTTTATTCACCGTTCATACAACAGCAGGTGACATAGATGGAGAGATTTCAGGTGGTGATCATTGCTCATATGAAGAGGGCCGGCCTGCGCTTATCGTGAGCAGCACTAGCTGGTAAATTGTACCTGTTCTATCTCCAAAGATTTCAGCGGTGGTGGCTTGTCCTCTATGATGAGTCCTATTGCATGTCTGTTTAATTTGCTGCTCTTTGTCGCTACTTTTGGTTAGGAGTGCTGATGCAAGTCAGATGGTTCCTTGCAGGACCAAAGATGAAGACTTTGGGATATTGCTGGAGGCAGCAGTAATGTACGATCGCCGTGTTGCAGCTCTGTTAGGAGAGAGTGACTCTGCTTCCTTCAATCAGACATCAGACACATATTCTTATTCTAGGAAACCAAGTCCCTTTCCCCGTCTTCTTATCGTTGTGACTGGTACGTAATTTCATTTACTTACCACTCATTGTTTAAACAAAAATGCAGCAAGCTGTAGTTGTCTCTCGTCAAAGTTTGAGGTATGAGTAATAAAAATTCCGTGATCTATGTCCGAAGCTTATTCATTGATTATGAACCAGGGAAGGGTCCAATGCGAGCGATATACGAGGAACGCATAAGCAAGCTACGGCTACAGAGAGTGGCAATTCGAACCATGTGGTTATCAGCCGAGGAGTATCCTCTCCTACTCGGTAACTTCAGACTGCCGTTATTTGCGACTGGAAACTTCATCATTCAGATCGTCCAATGACATGACTTTGGATGTTATCTGTCCTTAACCTTTGCCTTCATAGTGTTTTGCTTGCTGTAGGATCGATAAATAAGGTGGTGTGATGAACTTCAGAAACAGCATTGTGCTTGGTACACACTTAGCAAGTGTGTCTTAGTAACTTTCGAAGAGCAACCTTATGATATTAACGTGTGTAAAAGTGCTTCAGTGATGGTGTCTTTGTTCTCGTTCTTATGGGTGTTTTAGCGGTGATGCAGGTGCTGCAGATTTGGGTGTATGTCTTCATACATCCTCCTCTGGCTTGGATCTTCCTATGAAGGTGGTGGACATGTTTGGGTGTGGTCTTCCAGTTTGCGCAGTCTCATACTCTTGGTATGCAGAAACAGTTTCTTCTTCCCTTCCCTTGAGTCTTGGAGGTCGTCACATGCTCAGATTTATTATAACTGATAGGGCTGCAAGAATTAGTGGGACTTAATAAGTTTCTCAATTTTGAACCTTGGATTGTCTGAGCAGCATTGACGAGTTGGTAGTGAACCGCCACAATGGTCTATTATTTTCCTCATCCTCAGAGTTAGCGGATCATCTATTGGTACTTCTCAACCTTCTATCTTCTTCAACCCATGGCTTTCTCAAAGAAAATCGAGCTTAGCACTTATGCTTTGTATCGAGAAAGTGCCTTTATGTGCATTTACTACAAGCGGATATAAGTTGTGGCTTTAATATTAGTGTTTGTTCCGCAGGATTTGTTTAAAGGCTTTCCAGATGCTTGCAATTTGTTAGATACATTGAGACGTGGTGCAAGTGAATCTGGGTCATCATCTCGTTGGGACGATGAATGGGGCGAGCATGTTCTGCCTCTTCTTACGCAGGTTCAGTTTATCGTCGACTTTAGATTTTCTTCTGTGCTTCATTCATTTGTGCACCACCATGGCCTGAGTCACAGAGGTTCTGTGATAGAAGATGCGATTCAGTTACTTGGAATTATTTGCTTCGGTGACTTATCTAAATGTTAGATCTCGATTCAGCATGCTGCAATCTATCGTCAAATACTCACTTCTTCTCAGTTTCATGTCTTGTATGTTTCAGGTCACAGAAGGGATGATCTCATGATTGTTGAAGGGCTTAGAGGGCCTCTACAGCGTGGTACAAAATGCACTGGTTCTGAGGAACGCTTCTCTTCTAAGTCTGAAACAATCTAGGGAATATCTTGCTTTTTGCTGAGCTTTTGAAAGACTCAGGAAGTTGCTCTTTCTCTGCATTGGACTTCGCTCCGATTTCGAAACAGCATTAGTGAAGGCTTTTAATAATATGTTCGAGCATCAAGACTCTTGACCTGTGGAATATACTTGAGAAATATTTCGAGTTGGATGAATTACCGTTCCGCTTTGGACCAATACCAACCCCAAATTTGTAAGGAATAACTATAAAGAGATCTGGAATTACAAAGAGTAAAGCTGTTGGAATATAGGTGCTACTCGGAATTGAATAAATGTTATGGTCGTTTATGAGGCAGTATTCCTTGTCTCATTGTAACACATTTTCCACACATTCATGAATTTTTCTTACATTGAATGGACTTGCTTTAAGTACCCTTCTTAGATCCCAAAGCCATATTTGGATAGGTAAAATTAATAAAAATATTTATTATTTAGTTTTTTTCTCACTATAAATCCTTTCTAAAATTGAACTAAAATAACAGCTTCGAGAGATCTTCTATTTGCTAATATTTAAATAATTATTTTTACAATTTCTTGTAACTTTCCAATCGATGATTCTATACAATTTCTATTGTAGAACCCACTGATACTTCTTCAACCATATTCTTTAATTTTATTTGTTGACCTTATACACTACTCTTGTAAGTCACTAATATATAATTGACTGTAATTCATGTAGAGTTGTATACAACAAAAATGAACACTTCTTAACGATATGGTTGCATCACATGCAATGCTAATCAACAACTTGTACAGGGTGCCATTGAACACATTTGATTAACTTATGTACAATCACAGACGTCGGTGAATACTAAGGAAGAATGTGGGGAATGCGTTGCTCAAGTGATCGTAAGGGCGGATGTTTCTTCGAGTACGCGACACATCGGAGAAGACGATGGAGGAGGGTAGGTGCATTTCTATTGTAGGATTGTTTCCTCGCCAAAGGACGGGAATCGAAGGACGAGGAGCTCAGTCCAGTGCATGCAAGAATCAAGCACCCATTTACGGAAGCTGTGGATCGGAATGGGAGCATCAATAAATTCAGCATTATCTCAAACTTCATCGAAGTCTTATCACAGCTTCGTTCCCGGAAGGAATCCCAATTAGGGTTTTCACCTGAATGCGTTGTCTCGCTTCCAAGCTTAATGCAACACGCCATCGCCATGGCGATCCCTGCCAATTCTCAACCATTCGACGTCTGGCTGTGCTCGAACCCGGCATCTGATTCGTGGGTCGAGCTTCGGTTGCTGTTCTGTTTCGTTCTTTTTCTTTGAGAGCCGAGGGTATAGGGTTTTGGAGAGTTGTGGGTAGAATGGCAACGATGGCGGGGTATTGCAAGCTGGAAGTCGTAGGAGGTGTAGCTGCGCTGCAATTGGAGAGTGGTGGGACTACTTTTGGTCGAAAAGGCGTAGCGAGGTTGCGGTGCGGGGGCAAGACAAGCGTTAACTCGGTGCGATCATTGGGAGGCGATGGTGGTTTCCATATCCTTGCGAGCGTTAGGAATTGTGGGAGCTGGAAGCAGGTCGGGGATTTGGGGAGGAGGGGATTCAAGGGGTTTAATGTGGTGGCGATGCAAGGAGATGGAAGTGTTGGACAGGAGAGTGATGGTGGGCGTGGAGTTTCGCAAGGGAAGCCGATTCCGGTGCTGGTTATTGGTGGTGGTGGGAGGGAGCATGCACTTTGTCATGCATTACAAAGATCGCCTACGTGTAATGAGGTCTTCTGCGCTCCGGGAAATGCAGGGATCGGCAAATCCGGAGATGCCATTTGTGTCAGAGAATTGGACATTAAGGACAGTGAAGCGGTGATTGAGTTTTGTAAGAAGTCGGGTGTGGGGCTTGTGGTTGTTGGCCTAGAGGCTCCTCTGGTGGCTGGATTAGTCGACGATTTGGCGGACGTAGGTATCCTGGCTTTTGGTCCATCTGCGGCCGCAGCTTCCCTCGAGGGTTCTAAGAATTTCATGAAACGGTTGTGCGACAAGTATGAGATTCCCACTGCGAAGTACCAGTCGTTTACCGACGCAGCTGAAGCGAAGAAGTACATCAAGGAACAAGGCGCGCCAATTGTGATAAAAGCGGACGGATTGGCAGCGGGGAAAGGTGTAGTTGTAGCGATGACGCTAGAGGAAGCATATGCAGCTGTGGATTCCATGTTGGTGAGCAGCGAATTTGGATCAGCGGGAGGATTAGTTCTTGTGGAGGAGTTTCTCGATGGTGAGGAGGTTTCGTTTTTTGCACTAGTAGACGGGGAGAATGCGTTACCAATGGCATCAGCCCAAGATCACAAGCGAGTCGGAGATGGAGACACAGGGCCGAACACAGGAGGCATGGGAGCCTATTCCCCCGCCCCGGCTCTCACTCCCGAGATTGAGCAGAAGGTTATGGAAACCATCATCTACCCTACTGTGAAGGGCATGCGCGCCGAAGGATGTAAATACTTGGGGGTTCTCTACGCAGGTGTGATAATTGAGAAGAAGAATGGCTTGCCGAAGCTTTTGGAGTACAATGTGCGGTTCGGAGACCCCGAGTGCCAGGTGCTCTTGATTCGTCTGCAGTCAGATTTGGTGCAAGTTTTATTAGCAGCATGCAAAGGAGGTTTGAATGGGGTCCAACTCGAATGGACTGAAGAGCCTGCCCTGGTGATTGTTATGGCCAGCAACGGTTATCCAGGAAAGTATGTCACTGGGACAAGGATCAAGAATTTAGATGTAGCGGAGGTCATTGCTCCCGGCGTGAAAATTTTCCACGCAGGCACAACCATGAACGCTGAACATGAAATTGTAGCAACGGGAGGGCGTGTTCTTGGTGTCGCTGCAGTTGGAAAAGATATTGCTGAGGCGCAAAGCAAGGCTTATAAGGCAGTGCATCAGATAGACTGGCCAGAAGGTTTTTTTCGGAATGACATCGGCTGGAGAGCTGTCTCCCGACTGCAGGGGGCGCATTCTTCGTAGCTCGTTGCGCTGGTAATCGAATTACCCTTCTGTATTCACAGATAATGTGACATGTCGGATAGATTACTCTTGACCCTGGTCATGTCGGCCCTGTTTTTTTCAGTAAGTATAAGCATGGCGTTGAGCTTTTCTCTGTATACCTCTTCCCGTCTAGACACGAGAGCAATAAGTGCAGGCTTAGTCTAAAGACGAGGATTTTTTCCTCAGTGTCCCAACTTCAATACGCGAATTCCAAGGGCTTTCCCTACACAGCATTGGCTGATTGCCTTACACTGGGTATCTGTTTCATCGCTTGATACAACACTTTTATGTCCAGCTTGATGTGTTTCAAGTGCAATTCCCCTTTGAGGAAAGGACCTGTAACTGCATTAGCTCATTTTCCCTTCTCCTCAATCTTCAAGCATTCGGAAGCGTCGATTGTGATTCCGAGCACGTTAGTGAACTCAGATAGTTCCACATCCTTTTCAATTATGCGGCAGGTAAGCTCTATCTGGTGCTAGTTTACTGTCTGATGCATATTTTGACCAAAGTTGAGACCTGTAAGGAATTTTAGAAACACGTTGCACACAAGTTACAAGTCACTTTCTCACGAATGAGAGGCTCTAGTTCGTGACTTATGGCAGTCGTTGCCTACATGTCAATAGTAGTGTAACCAATGCATATTAAAAAGCCTCAATCGAGCAGCAGAACCTGACATCTTGGTGGAAGATAAAGCAATGTGCGTTGAAATGTGGTATATTATCTGATGAAAACTAATTTTGCAAAATACATGCTCATAAGTAGCGTTTTCCAACTCGCTTTGGTAGCTAAGAGCTCGTGAATCTTACACAATTCCAATGTTATTGACTGAACTTATCATGCTCAGTTTTACATTTCCTAGTCGGCTGTAACAAGACAGTACTCCGAAAAAGGAAGCTTTCTTGATTCAACCTTTTGTCAAATATTGATGTTCAAGTCATTCTGAGCGAGGCAAATGAGAGTTGCTTGGAAGCGCTTTGAGAAAGTGGCCAATAAGATTCATAAATGGAAAAAAAGAGAAAAATGAACAGATGGTTCATAATGCAAATTGAACTCAATAGTTTTTATTCTTTCATCTTCTGCTCATGGTAGTAGCACTTTTGGACCGTGAGTTATTTCTTGTCCTTGAATTACTACTTAGGCTGCTACCTGACCTAGAGCTGCTACCTGGCCTTGAGCTGCTACCTGGCCTTGAGCTGCTACCTGATCTTGAGCTGCTGCTACTAGAAGCCCCTTCATTGCTAACTCTTGCAGAGCCTCGTGTCCCTCGTAAACTGCTTTTTGTTTTGCTTCCTTGGGTGTTTGAATATTTCAACGATACACCTAATTTCTGAGCCTTCGCTTTCCTCTTCTCTTCAATTTCTTTCTTTTTGATGTTGGCCAGCTTCTCCCGACTATTTGTCAACCCTTCCAAAGACTCCCCCTTGCGCATTGCCTCCTCCAGTTGGATTGCCAAAGTCTGGTCTCTCTTCGTCACCAAGCTTGTCACCATACCTAAAAAATGCATAAACATTAATCTAAAAGAGGAAAGATATATAACGACATCTCCAGGATTTCGTGATGGACTTGTAAACATGAAATTGAACGGCCAAGAAAAGCATGTGAAATGATCGATAACTTTTGGAGGTTGTAAACTGAACCCATATATTGAATTTGAACTGCCCAAACAAAATGTGAGTAGTGAAGAAATTAACTTGAATGTGTATTGCACAGTAACCTACCTTTTCTCCCCATGCGCGCCGTTCTTCCGGTGCGATGCAAGTAATCAATCTGTCACAAGCAGATGGTATCAGCATTGAAAATAATTTAGTCGAAACTCTTACAAATTCCTCGCTGATCGAATTGAAACACCAACACAAAAGCATCTACTTGAGACGAACACTTCATACTTCTCTTCACAACAAAGATCACAAAACCCTTTAATGTGCAGCGGAAAGAGAACCGTCGATAGTGAAAAAAATGGCAAAGATAACACGAGCACTGAAGAAGATATTGCAGCATAGCCATCGAGAAATTCACTTACAGGGTTAAGAGGAAAATCGAAGTTGATGACATGATCACAAACAAGGTCCAAACCACGAGCTGCCAGATCAGTACAAACCAATGCTGGCAAAGAATCCTCATCAGCGTTTTTGAACTTTTCCAAGTTTTCTACCCTGCATGGAAACCATCGCTCTTTCACTCGTAAGATGATATATGTTTAATATTTGCTCCTGATTTGAAGGACAAACGCAGAAAAAAATCAACGTAAAAAACAGTGAGATGGCAACTTTTACCTCTCATCCGCAGGAATAGCTCCATGGTAATTGACAGACGTTGTGCCTCGCTCTGATAGAAAGTGATCAACTGCTCGGCATGAGCCCAAAGTGTTGCAGAATACCATGACTCTTTTGCCTTTAGCAAGCTCTGGCTCCAAAATCTGAGGACCTCAAATGATGAAAAAAATGAGCATAAACCTCACTAACCCTTCTAAGCCACGATCAATATTCATAAAATATGTGCCTAGTAATATTATAAGAGCAAAAAAGGTTTGACATTAAATTAACAAAAGACGGCACAAACTGAAGATTAAATCAGAACATTTCTAAACTCGTCAGAGGGTTCATGCGGGTCCACTGCAATGCTAATTCATAAGTAAAAATAAAAATAAAATCTTTGATGAAAGAACCAACTTCATATCTGCAGTATATCATGATAAACTTGCCTGTATAAGGGATTCTAGCTTGTTTTCTGTGCCCACTAGACGAAGAAAATCGTGGCGAGCATTAGTGACCTTCTTGTGCAAGGTGGACGTATAGATATGCTTAATGCCTGGAAATTCTTCATCCAACAACGACTGCACTGCCTGTAGTAGGCAATTAACATTGTAAGCAAATAAAATCATCAGCATGAAGCAATTTCCAACGCAAATAAACATCATTACGAAGCGCTGAATTATCGTGTATTCTTAGACAATTGAATTGAGCTATTTCTAAGAACACTGAACACCTTTGTAATGGTGGCAGTCACTAGGACTGTTTGGAACGGCTCTCCTTCAGGCTGCCGTGACCTATTTCGCAGTGGATTGAGAAATTTCCTCACTTCCACACCGAAGCCTTTGTCAAACATAGTATCAGCCTCATCCAACACCTGATCATCAAAAGAGGATTCATTCAAAACCAAAATAAGCACCAAATAAATATAGACTGTTAATAAACGAGATATTTTACCCCCCTGCAATCGACAACAATATACAGAAAATACAGATGTTATATACAAATATTTCATTTAAAAACAGTTATAAAATTCTACCGATACAAGATACACTCTGCAAACAAGTGACGCGAAATTATGCATACAGTGGAACCCTGCATTCTCCACTGCAGATGGCTTCATCTTCAACAAAGGAGATGTAAAAGAAGATGCTCACCACATACTTGAGATCACCGTAGGCCATGTTGCCCTGTTCAATATGCATGAGAAGCCTTCCTGGAGTGGCAACTATGAGGTCTATAGCCTTATTCAAAGAATCCTCCTGGGTTTTCATTCGGCTACCCCCACCCACCATGGCGGCTCGAAACCGAGCATGATGACACAAAGACTTTGCGACTCTAAAGACCTGAAATATAAATTTTCATTGTTAATGCTGAACTTGTACATGCAAAAATGAAGGATATCAAAATAATACAATGTTGAAAGGAACTTATTCCAGCATCTACGTAAAATTTCTTGCAGAGGGTACTCAGGTGATACATTCGTAATTAGATTCAGGAGCGAGGCAACTCGGCAGCTAAAAGAACTAATTCTTTCTTTCTTGTGTCTTTATTTTAAAGCAACGTTCACAGAATAAAATCATAAATCCGTTACAATTTTTTATAGATAAATTAAAAACCTGAAATAAACCACCAGCTAATAAAGAGGAGTAAAACATTAACCTGTTCAGCTAGCTCCCGCGTGGGGCAGAGTACAACAGCCCTCGGCCTCCTAGCCCTAGTGAATTTTCCTGATGCTGCTTCGTCTCTTCTTAAAGCCTGCATTCAGACAACACTTTAACATAAGAACTAGGAGAAGGACAGATGAAATGCCGTCATAGCATCGGAAACTCCGAGTAATAGCAGGTCAGATGGAGACATGTGTAGGACATTTTGTTTAGGGTAAAGAAAGAACCTGAACAATGGGAAGCAAGTAAGCAAGTGTTTTCCCAGAACCCGTGTGTGATGCCATAACAACATTTTCGCCAGCAAGTACTGTTGGAATTCCAATAGCCTGAACTTCTGTAGGCTCCATAAGTCCCAGCTCTTTCACTGCCTCCATTACCTCGTCGCTCAGTCCTAAATCATTAAAACGAACAAGACCTGGGACAGTTTCCTTCATTACCCTTGGCTCTGGCATAGGAGGATTAAGCTTCTGAAGCTTAACCGCATCCCGCATTTGTCGCTGCCGCAAACGCTCTAAAGGGGTCAAAGATGAGGAAGCGCTTGCGGAGGAATCCACAGTTGACATACATCTGATCGATGCTCGAGGGCTCCATTTTCGTGATGCCTTAAGAACAAGCAACTTGTTGGGAGAACAAAGCGAAGCCAGAGAAGACTGACGTGAGAAGAGCGCCGCCATGCTTGTCACCCGCAGCTTCAATAAGTGGCACGCCATCGCTAATGAGACAAAGACTAATACACACTTGGACTGACAGCTCCCATTATAAGTCTCAATCCCAACCCCGTACCTAATGCATCCCTGCAAGATGACGAACCCAATAAAGTAGCCCTCAGCCAAGAACAGAACAAACTACCACGCAACAAAGCATTAGGATGCTAAACGTGCGAACGGCGCGGAATTTCACTAACTGGACGTCGAACATCACACACCTTCGGCATCCACAGACTCATCAAACAAACGAGCAGAAAAAAACGACAGTGGCGCATAAATTTCAGAGCAGCTCGTAGCCAGAATCTACGAGTATGCTCCAAGACAATTAGGCTCATCTTCACCTCTCTTAAATTGAACGCGAGCAGACCTTGCATGAGGAATTTGTAGGGCAAACAGTCGGAAAAAAACGAAATGCCAAACTCACCAGTGAAGCTGTTGTTGATAAGACTGTTGATAGAGAGGGTTTAAGAAATTGGAGAGGTGGCGGAATTGGCCGCAGACGAGCGCGAGAGCAAATTCTAGACTCCCCGAAACCGCCACTGGAAGAGAGAGTCGAAGGGGAGGATTGCTTGACTCCTATACAGCATTCGCACAAACACAACCATCCCCCTGGTTCCCTACGTTCCCTCCCTCAGTTCCCCGACTTATCTGGTTGTGTATCGTTCCCATTGTTGGGAGCGGAGGAGAAGGCAAGATATCTGGACCTAGGCTATATCAATGCGTTCACACTGAAATCAACAATCGAGATGAGACTTTTCTTCCTTCCTTAGTATTATGATTTATTACTGAATTGTACATTTGTAAACATTAATAACCTGCTTTAACATATTACTCCCAAAGCAAAACAAGGGAATCTAATGTTACAACATATATATATACATATATATATATATATATATATATATGTGTGTAGCTTGCTAAAATTTCAGCGTGATACACACACTCGTTCACTCATATTATCAATCATATTTATAGACTTAAAAAATTGAATAATTCTCATTTTTGGATTCTAACTACTACGACTAAGACAATCACATGCAAGCAATGTCAAAAGTGTCAGTGCATGCGTTATCAGTTAATCCACTTATTAGGATCGTCGCATGGGTTACCGCCTGGTTCGCCGCCTGGTTTCCGAATGGGTGCCGACAACTGCTCGCAGTTCTTTTCAGGGTTCACCGCTCAGTTCTCTGCCAACTCACAAGCCTCGTCTCGTGGATTGTTTGCAGGGAGGGATTGAGCCGCCCCTCTTGCTTGAATTCCCCGTGAGTCCAATCCTCATACGTCATTGCAAATTCTCGATGGGAAATGCGACCTCAGTTTATACGTCGTGACTGTGATGAGATGGGGTTCAGAGATGGCTCAGTTGGCCATCCGCGATGAGGTTGTGTCTCGATGATTGCAAGCCAGGTATCTGAAGCAGGGTTACAATTTTATGGCCTAGGGTTGTGGTCGACGCCGTGAATTTTGCTCACGCTTCTTTCCCAAACTCCTGGCGGGTGTTCGTGGATTGTTTCTTGGACTCTGAAGTTTGGCGTAGTGGTGTTGGAAGTGACAGGAACGCGAGGATCAGGTGAGCCGCAATGTGGAAAGTGACACAGAAAGGTTGGATTGCTACACTCGGTACAAGTTACACAATTGCTATCCCAAGTTTTTTCCACTAGATTGTAGGTTTTTTTGAAACCAGCAATTTGGTTAGGGTTAGGTCGGAGAAGGCTTTCATGGAAGATTTGTTCGTGTGCGATTTGATCCCAAGTTAAGAATTGTTGATGCAGACTAGTGTAGGGGTTGGATTGATGCCGAAGTGATCGCGCGAATCCGTATTTTGCGAGGTGGATTAATTCTGGGAGTGATTCTTGATGAGAAAAGCAATTGGGTGCCTTTGACAGCTGGAGAACAGAGCAGTCATGCTGTCATGGGGAGGAATCACTTTGTGCTTAAGCGGGGCAGCGCTATACTGCTTGAGTCGCAACACAGGACGCGATGCCCTCAATCTCAGGTCCATTGAGCGGGTGAACCAGCTCAAAGACTTGGCTATATTGTTAGAATCAGCATGCAAGGTAGTTCCCTTGGTGGTGACTGTGGCTGGTCGTGTTGGGTCCGAGACCCCAATTGCTTGCGAGCATTCAAGCTTACGAGGGGTGATCTTGGAGGAGACCGCAGAACAGCACTTCCTCAAGCATAATGACACTGGCTCGTGGATTCAGGACTCGGCTCTCATGCTGTCCATTAGCAAAGAGGTTCCATGGTATCTGGAGGATGGTACTGGTCGTGTATACATCGTTGGGGCCCGGAATGCAGCGGGCATGGAGCTCACGGTTGCCAGCGAAGTTTTCGAGGAGTCTGGACGGTCGCTAGTGCGTGGAACGCTGGACTATTTGCAGGGATTGAAGATGTTGGGCGTGAAACGGGTGGAGAGGGTCCTTCCTACAGGTACCAACCTTACCGTCGTCGGAGAAGCTGTGCAAGACGACCGAGGCCTTATTCGAATTCAGAAACCTAACAAGGGGCCGTTCTACGTGACTCCTAAGAGCCTAGATCAGCTTGTTGCGAATTTGGGCAGATGGTCGCGGTGGTATAAGTACATGTCGCTCGGGTTTACCATCGTGGGCATTTACTTCATTACATCCCACGCTATCAAGCATTTTATGGAGCGCCGGAGGAGGGAAGCTCTGCACAGGAGGGTGATGGAAGCTGCAGCACTTCGACAGGCATCGCAACGAGAAGGCGGCGATGGGGACATGGGCGATGTTACTTCACACCCACTTGATGATAGCGTAGATACTTCTCAGAAGAAAGACAGAGGGACGCCTGACTTGTGCGTCATATGCTTGGAGCAAGACTACAATGCCGTATTTTTGCCGTGCGGGCACATGTGCTGCTGCACATCGTGCTCAGCGCAGCTCACGAGTTGTCCGCTTTGTCGACGCCACATCGACAAATTTGTGAAAACGTATCGGCACTAGTGGCCTCTTCCTTATTCTTGTTATTAATGCCGAGTGGTGATGTTAGCTGGATGTGTATTTATGAATGGTAGAGACTGAGGAAAGGCCAGATATGCTTTGAGGCAGAAGTTTAAAAGTGTATGCAGAGATATGCACCGATTGCACTTAGGATAAAAGAAACTGTGACATGGCAGACAGTTGATATTACCAGATTTTGTTGGCCATGGGGAATACTCGTTGAGCCAGCTGGCTGGTTTTCAACAATTGGGTACTATAATATCAATCTCTTAGCAGACTTTCTATTGCGAGGATAAAGATTCTCATTCCATAATAGCAGGTTCATTTCCCCTTTTTGTTATGAAGCGAAAGCATTATGTATTATTGCTGTTAAAAGCGTCTTTATAAATCAACTTGTGTACGCTTACATGCTTCTGATGCCTAGATGCAGATTTTGCGTGTTATATTTATCAGGCTCCCATGATTTAGAATTCAATGTTAGTCAGAAGCTTAAGGTGCTCCGGAAAGTGGTGACCGACACTAATTAGACGTGGCTTGCAACAAAGGCTGGTTTTTGGCAAGCAGACGTGAGACCCCTATTCCATGCCTTACAAACGGTGAGTTGGGTTGAGATACAATTTTGGCGGTCACCACTTTAAGAAGCACCTTAAACAACAGAAATTAGGAGCACAAATCATTCTATGTACATGATACTACCTGCACACCATATCTTGACGACCATACTTAATATAAAACTCAGCTGACGTGCACAAGATTCGATAATTTCAAGCATGAATTTCGAATCATGAGCCATATCCATGATTTCTGTGAAAAACAGCACGATGCACTCATTTTCTCGTCGCTAGCAAGACGTAGTATTTTAATGTTTTGTAGGAAGGCACTGCTCAGTAATGATTGCATGGTCAAGCTCCTTTTAAACAATTAAAAATACTGATAAAAATAGCAATGGCTGAATCGAATTCTGTTAAAGCCGACTATGCAAGAACTACCCAATAGACCCAACTGCCATTCCTCATAATTAAATGATTGCTTTCAACGTGGAGAATGCTTAAGAGCATCTACACTATGCTACTCAGTGTTCAAATGAAGAGTGCCATAGACATGCACTCCGTTATTGCCCACCCATGATTAGCCAAAAACAATAGTTTTTAAGCTTTTCTCTTGGGTACATCAAATGTAATGTTTTCAGTGGAGCCCTCTTATTAGTTATTGATACGCATATCAATGAATTGCAATATTTAATTAGGAATTTTTGTTTTACAAGATAGTGGTTCAAAATAGATGGAGACACATTTCAAAAAAAAAAAAATTGCAAACTGTTATACATCTTTTTTTTTTTTTTTTTTTTTTTTTTTCCCTTTTAATTCTTAAAAAATTCAAGCATTCACAAAAACTACTTCCATGCTCATTAATACTAGTGTCTACTAGGACATAACATAAAAAATTAGATTTAAGTAACTTTGAGTTAAAGCTATGGAAAACAAAAAGTTAGTCAATTATCTACTACATTTTGGTACTGTGTGCACTCCCTTCGATTTATCTTTGTAAATAATGATTTTGTTAATTTTTTTTTTTGATGAGACAATAACTAAATTTCGACGTTTATGGATCTGGGTAAAATATCGAAAAAATCTAATGATTAAACTAAATGACGCAAGCTAACCAAGGAATTAGTTCCAGATACGAACTTTGGAATGCAAAGTTTTATGCTCAATTGTTATCAACTTTACATGATATTGTCTGTGCAGTTACACAAAAAGAAAATATCCTCTCAGATGGTGATCTAACTTCAACCTCAGCAGCTATAATCCAAACTATAAAATCGTCTATTAAAGTCTCTTTACTTTCACAATACAGGATGTTACTTTCAAAATATAATCTTGATTTTCACTGAAGTATTTTATCAGTTGGGTTTAGAATAGTGTACTTAAAGAAGATGATTCCATCCTATCTCAAGCCTTAAAGGTCGGATTTTACATGTAAAATGAAACCAACACTTTGCCAGGCGTCTGTTACTAACTGCCTGTCAGAGATCGTAACTTCGCAGTTGCAAGAAGAAAAAGCAGATACAGCAAAGCTGCGAATATGAAACAAGACACAAATTGATGCAGAAAATAATTCTAGAAAAACAAGAGGGACATCACAATCAAGCCTCCATTCAAGTTTAGTTCTAAAACTGGGAGCGGCATTCAGTCCTAATTCCTGTCATTACGTTAACACAAGCAACATTATGCTTGCAAAATTGCCACTGGGACGCTAACCTCTACTTCTGGAACTGCATCACGTGAGACAAATGGAACAATCCGAACACACAAGCTGCAATATCGGGAAGACAACTGGTCAACTATTTCAAGATAAATCTCATGCCTTTAAACAATGATCTGAAGGGAGGATGAATCAGCATCATACGGAAGAGAGAGAAGAAGCACTTGGCAGTCGTCACCGAAATGATTTAGAAGCTCTACAGTCGTCACCATCGTCTGCGAACCCTGAGCCACGCCAAAGCACCCACCAATGCACCTCCCAAATGACCAGCGTGGGCAGTGCGGGAGCCTTCGTTGCGAGCTTGCCAGACGTCGGAACCGATCAGGTAGACTCCAAAGAGAGCAGCAGGGACGGGGATGAAGAAGTTAACCATTATAGTTCGAGACGGGAAGAGAAGGATGTGAAGCAACACGATCGCATTAACTGCACCGCTGGCGCCTAGCGCACTTGGTGTGTAGCGCGCATTGAAGCGGTGCTGTGGAATGTTTTCAAGCCAAGGTATCACGAAGGCGCAATACACAAGATGACCAATAGAGCCCGCAATTCCACCGACTAAGTATAAATTTAGCAGCCAACGCCCGCCAAAAATCTGTGCAACTTCTGTTCCGAAGAAGTAAAGTCCCAACATATTCATAATCAGATGGTTGAAACTTGCTTGACTGAATGCTGAGGTCACAATTGTATGAATTCGACCACTCAGAACAGAGTTCACGGATACCATAAAATTGTTCGTCATAAACTTGCGGTCAGCAAACTGCCACAATCCAAATACCGCAAGGTTCACTCCAACCAATCCCCACACTACGCGCTGGGCATTCCCGCCCGCGTAGCCGCCATACCCACTTCCATAGCCTCTGCTGCTCCCCAGCTTGGCACGGACTATATTAGACCACCTCGACAAAGAAAAATTCCGCACTGGTACAGCTATACCCTGTTGGCCAGCCTTGGCAGCCTGCAAAAGCATAGGACTCCATAGAGACGATTTCCTCGGAGCTAAGAAACTTCGAAGAGGTGAAGTCAAGCCCTCTCGGCCAGCCTGCACGAGCGAGTAACTCCCTGGATATCCCCTCAGAGATGTAAGATTTCGGACAGGCGATCCAAGGGTCTGTCGACTAGCCTGCCTTAAGAGAGCAAAAGCAAGCATATTTAACTCTTCGCTTCTTCGTTCCTGAAGAATGTATCACCTCGTTCGTCTTAATAACATGCCGCAATTCCCACTGCGCTAGGACATCGTTCATAGGCTACTATGTTGTATGGTCCATACAGAGTACTGTTGATTTGAATCTGAGAGTATTATAACCTAAACCCTGTCGACAAAACCTCCACTACTTCAGCAAATTCTTTGTATGCATCTCGCAAATAATGTGAGCATCAACCCTAAATTTAAGAATAGGATGTTGAGGAATTAAAATAGCTGCTGATCGCTGTATGTAGAGTAGGAAACAACTTCTAATCATCATAAAGATATAACAATCACAAACATCAAGTGTGGGCATGTATTTGCACTCTCCAATTGCGGAAAGTAACAGCAAAGGTATATATAAACCCCAGACACTTCATGCTTCAATGTGTTCTTACGAGGGTGGACTCACCGTCATTTACAAATTTCCTTGCAACATCAGGGCGACAAGTAGGAGCTGCTAGGTTAATGTAGGGTAGCCCAAACCCTAAAAGAGTTTGAACTACGTACAGGCATAATATCTTACAACAATATGAACTCATGCAATTCTGTTTTGCTCGCGAATTCCAGGAGTGTACACAAGGAACGAGATCGCGACATGAATTTCCACGACAGCAAGGTAATCAAATAGCCCCAAAACCTCAGGACGACAGTACTTCGCCAAGAAAGTCATCGACGTGACGCAATTTTAATTGCCCAAAATTTAAATTCTAAGTTACATTGAAAGTAAGAAAAACATGGAAAGATCGCTTTCAAGAGCGGATTAGGTCACAGCTAAAGAGCCAATACACAGGCATGAAAAAACATAGATAATGGAAGAGCTCAAGTCTGCAAATTTGCATGAGGAGAGAAGCTGTCGAAGTAAACCTCAAATACAGTTGACTCTTGTGACTGTAATCGCTTCATACGCTTTTCTCCAACTGCATGATTCCTGCGCTGATTACATGCCAATGCGAAAAGCAATCAAACCCTCAACTGGTGCTCAATTGCTTCGGTCGTTTGACGAAGAAAGACGATTTAGAATTGAATGGCCTTCACTGAAAGCCCTCAAATGACTCTCAAAATGCCCTGTCACGCGTTGTGCACATTGACTAGGAAGACGGCAAATCTTTCCAAGCTAATGAAGCTCCGGACAACAAACACTTCTATCATGACACAAGCAGCTTCTCGATCTTGCCATCTGTTCATCTGTTCGTCCATTATCTGGGATGACTTTCGGTCGTTAGAAGAAAAAGATTTGATGACAAAGTATCTGCTCATCAGAACCATCGTGTTCCAACTGCTTCCTAGAAGCTGACGAGGATCCACCCACTCGCACAAATCCTCCTGTGCTAAATTCGACATGGCTTGCATCGACTTCTAAATCATACATGACCAGTCACTGTGGCAGAGTTTGTCGTGCATTTCACGAATTTTTTTCTAGAAACTAATCTAGATACTTAGTTCGGAGGATCCTCGATACGGTTATTTTAACGCAGAATCGCTTGACAAGAGCGTTTTTTCTTCAGAATTCATGGTTTTCGAGGGGTTAGAAGCAGAACCCACCTAGACGATTGGTTTGCAAGGAGTATCAGATCTTCAACCTGATGCACAGAGGGACGTTAGAGTAGCTAGTTGTTTGCAGAATTCTTTACGTTCGTCCTCTATATGTGGTTTGAGTTCGAAGGATTTGCAGAGAATTCCTAGCACACAACTATTGACGGATGGTTTGGAGTTTTTGGGGAGCCATTACAACGGTTTGGCTTGGTTATCGAGAGGGTTCAGAGGAGTGCGCTCAGGAATTTACTGGGCTCCAGGGCGGCTGCGGAGTGGGATATTGACAAGAACGAAACAAAACCCAGAGGGATGGCGAGTATCAAACTGGTGGGAGTGGTGGGTGCAGGGCAAATGGGGTCTGGTATAGCGCAGGTAGCTGCCTCGGCGAATATGCAAGTGATCATCGCTGACGTTAGTACTGCCGCCCTGGAGCGTGGCATGCGAGCTATCTCTTCCTCGCTTTCGAAATTTGTCAAGAAACAAACGCTCTCCCAGGTCATTTCTCTCAATCTTCACAATATGGTTCTTTTAATCTTCTCAGCATCGTCTTGATTCTCTCTACCCCTATTCTTTTAAAAATATTTCACTCATGTAAACATGGCAGCATTACATACTCTTCAGCTCTCTACCTTAATCAATGAGCAATTCAGCACAGACATTTTGTCAGTCGAATTTAGTTTGTGAAATAAACTTGCTTGTGACATGTCTTTACGCCTACACACGTTTCAGTGCACGAGATCTAATGAACAATGAATGGTTCACTACAGGAGGAGGCAGACGCAACGATGGCAAGATTGAGAGTGACCACATCTTTGCAAGAGATGCACGACGCAGATGTGGTGATCGAAGCAGTGGCTGAGAATGAGGGATTGAAGATTCATATATTTAAGGAGCTTGATAGGTTGCTTAAGCCTTCCGCAATCTTGGCTTCCAACACGAGTTCCATCTCCTTAACCCGCCTCGCAGCTGCCACCCAGCGTCCAAATCAGGTGAGTAGTTGCAGTTCGTCGATTTTCCCATCTCCTCATCAGAACGGAAATTCTGTTTTTTCTATTACCTTATGGACTAGCCAGATTCTAGGTCTGTAAGGTCCAATGAACATATGATTGATCGCAGGTGATAGGTATGCATTTCATGAATCCTCCTCCGTTGATGGAGCTTGTGGAGATTGTGCGCGGGATGTCGACTGGAGATGAAGTATTCGACACTATCAAGGCTTTGGCGGAGAGGTGCTGTTTGACTGTATTGCATTTCAGTGGCAAAAATAGGATTTAACACAATTTGTTTCTGGCACTAATTGACTGAAAATGGTATATTTGATACCAGGTGTGGGAAAACTGTGACTTGCTCCAAGGACTACCCTGGTTTCATCGTCAACCGTGTGCTGATGCCCATGATTAACGAAGCTTTCTACTGCTTAATGGAGGGGATTGCTTCTCCCAACGACATTGACACCGGCATGAAGCTGGGCACAAACCAGCCAATGGGGCCACTTGCTCTTGCCGACCTCATTGGTTTGGATACATGTCTATCCATCATGCGTATGCTTCATGAGGGGCTTGGTGACTCAAAATATCGGCCGTGCCCCCTTCTAGTGCAGCATGTAGATGCCGGATGGTTGGGACGCAAGAGCGGCCGAGGTGTTTACTTCTATACTTCAAACTTGTGATTTCTCAGGTACATAATGTCTCCAGGTTTATAATCACGGTCTTCGTAGTGACATTATCGAGAGAGCAAGTCTGCAGCATGTGGAGATTCAAATCTCAGCTGCTTTAGTTTAGTGTCCTCCCCTCAGGAAGATAGCTTATAGATCGCCCCCCACACACGAACGAACACAGCCCGAGATATTTACAATATTATTAGGAACCATGCCCTAAGAGACATCATTATCTTCAAACACTGTAATCTAAATTTCAAGTGCACCATGGTTCAATATGTTCAATGGACCTGTCCGACTCAATCAACACCACGCCTTCTCTTGCGCATCGTACTGCTTACGGACGGTGCTGCTTGCGAACGGTTCTGTGAATAGGCAATGCCCATCTTCTCGCGGCATTCCTTGTTGGCAATGGAGTGGTCTACAACTGTTCAAAACGGCCACTGACTTTCCGTGAATAAAGATTTTTCCCACTAAACTTTGCTCAAAGTCATTACATCCTTCATGAACTGCGACATAAACGCAAACAATACAACAGAAATAGTACTTACTAGGACGAGGATAATCAACGCCTATAATACAGTTTGCTTTTTTCTGCACCGCAAGCGGCGCCGTCCATGGCTCATATATGTAATATTTTGGCATATCTGTGAAGACAACATAAATTGACCGTCAACAATTGTTGGGCAAAGCGAATTCGAGTGGATATTGCCACTGATATTGTCATTAGCTTCGAAGAGTGAGAAATCTTGACTTTAGTATCACCCACCTTTCAAAACTGGAAGAAAATGTTTAACATAAAGGCCATCAGGGTCGTACTTCTTTCCGAATGTTACTGGGGAGTAGATGCGGTGATACTGCAACCAGATTCAAGGACACTAGTGTTAATGAAGAACATTAACACAATCAGGGGGAGACCATCTACATATTATAAACCTCATCGACTAAGCAGACGAAGGCTATAAATGACCTCTACTATGTAAACAAGGAACTAAAATTGATCGTGAGATCACCTGATGGAAAAAAGCAGATGCAGAGAGCCATAACCAGTTGCCGTTGTTGATGGCCCAGTCAGAATCGATAAGAAGTCTGTCAAATACATCACGACCTTTCTCCCAATACACGAACTGGTAGATATAAACAAAACGAACGTTAATTGGAGAAGTACAGGGCATGATAGAGGGAATTGATACCTCACATGTAGCTTAAAATAAGTCATCATGAATCTAGCGAACGAGTCACTTGGGAGGCACTACTCAAGGTTGGGACGCCTAATAAATTATTGCCGACAAAAAATGAAAATATCATCAGTGAGAGGTTCATTGTGATTAAGCACCATATCCCCCCGAGTGAGGAAGCATGCGACAGCATGTCTTGCAAGGTGATGCATCCAGCCCCACTTCCGTAACTGCATCAACAAAGCTCACAATCACGTGATGCCATGCGCAAGCTGGAAGCATAATATGCAGCACAAGTAGTAGAGATTCATTTTGGCAAGTTGTAAAAAAGACCTGAACCATAGCTGCATCAATCCACGGGTATCCTGTTTGTCCATCTCGCCAAGCTGCTAATAATCGGTCGTCATCTTTCCAAGGGATCTGGCGGAGCAAACGCAACAGCAGAGTAAGCATGTGAATTCATTATAAGAGCTTTGTCAGCAATATAATACAACTCTTGAGAACATTCAGAAAGGAGTCCATTATGGAAAACTCATAAAGAATACGCAGTTGTGTTACAGAGCTTACAGGCACTGAGTCCAAATTCTGCCACATGACTACAAATTCTATTTGGTTCTTCATTCATGGACTTCCCTGTGAACGGCTCCGGTTCTAGTAGCTAGAAATATTACATGGAAGGCATCCGAACCTGTTTACATATGGGGTTTCCAAGCATTCGATCGAAGTTTGGAGTGCCATAACCTGCTGTATAGAAGAACTCTCGCCATAACAGCTGGAAGACAGCATTTAAAAAGTAAATATCTCTTCAATTCTACACAAAATTGATAAAAAAAACAAGATCAACACGACAATGCATGGAAACTTTCCATAAAAAAACAAGAAGAAATTACCTGTCCTTCAAGAGAAACAGGAGGTGAAGAATGTTTTTTATTTTGAGAATACACAGCTAGCAGCCTTTGATGAAACAATCGGCAGGATAGACAACCGAACTGCAGGAAACCAGCAAAATTTCACTAACTTGAACAAATTACCCAATCATGCATAAGAAAAATTAAAAGTTATATTTGTTAAAATCTCGATGGATCAAAGATACGATTCTATAATCAATTTGCTTCAATACGATCATTAAGATGAATATTCAACTAGCATAGGTTTTAGTAAAAAGCCTAGATTACTTGCCTTCAAGTATGGGGAGAGGACAGTGGTAGCTGGTTCGATGAAGGCGGTGGGGTTACCCTTTGGCTTCTCGAAATCACACACCCATTTCTGCAGATCAGTTAAAGTTTGATCAGCCCAGTGGCAAAAAGCAACACAATAAAGATCGAGATGGTACAAATCCTGGATAGTGTCACCAGAATTTCTAAGACTAGACCCAAAAAACAAACGAAGGTGTTTCATAGCTAACCACCAATTCTTGTCTAGAGAAAAATGCAGGAATGAGATTTGTTAAGTAACAAATTAGTCAGGCATTCGATTAGAGGCTACCTGATTCACTAAAGATTTGTCCAACCTCCGAAGTGCCTCAGTCTCGCCCCCTGGATGTGGAGAGAACTCCTGCGAAGTCATACCGTTTACAAGTAGGCAGTGTCGGAACGGTTTACAGCATTAACTACTATTTGATACGAATCTTTCGCAAGCGCAAGAAAATTACGTTAATATTCAAGTGCAACTCATTCGATTACTTGAAGCACCATTACAGGTCATTCAACAGTTGCTACAAACCTCATCCAAATTCACGTAACCCAAGTCCTCAAGCTTTGGAACTGGTACGACGTGCACATCATTGAGATCCTCTGGGGGGCTTGGTATCTGTAGCGGTGCAGTCACAGGTAATGGTGGCTTCCCTGTTAATTTGAGAAAGGCTTGATATGTCAAAGGTGTTTGTCCGCCGTTCTGTTGTCGCAGCAAAAAAATTAACAAATAGGTGAACAGATAAGTCACTGTACGTTAATCCTCACAAAGAGAGGTTTTCTCGCCACATGTAAATTCAATACATGAAACAATAGTGACAGCTCAAATGTCCGGCTGACCTCATCAAATATATTATGCAATCACAACTTGGACAGAAATATTACGAGGAAGATTGTGTAGCTTCAAATACCTTCCGTATGGTATCAATGGGGTTGAATAAAGTGTGGCTAACAGGGCTGAACACCTCAACACCATATTTTGTTGCCAGCTTCTACACACCAAGAAAAGTATGGCAAGTGAATCAAATGATAAACCTTGAGATCTCATCTACGTTCAAAAAGAAAAACCTAAATTACCAGATAAACCATCATTGTAACAAGATTCCCCACTAATTTGATAAACACTGAACCCTAAAGCCACTAGCATAACAAGAACTTCTGGATGAGAAAGAACATTCTGCTACTGCACCTTTATGTCGGCATCACGGTCCTGGGCATAGGGTTCAGTGTCAAACTCGAAACATAATTCGTTGATCTGCCACTGCAACTCCATTCCAACGCAGGATTACAAAATGACTATGACGAATTTGTTAGAAGCATCCAACTCGAGAAGATTGTACTACTAAGGAAAGCGGTCTAGTGGAAGATGCATTTCATTGTTTAAATAATCCAAGGTTTCTCACAGATTTACCTTCATGAGAAGCTCCGGAATAACAGTGGTGGGGTTTCCATGCAGAACCAACAAGCGAGATCCATGCTTGCGAAGATTTTCGTCCAAGTCCTCTAAGGACTGCAACAGAAAACGAATACGGTTTACACCTACAAGCTTCGATCCAGGTGAGGGTGCCGTCGGGTCTGGGGCTAAAAACCATGGGTCCAAAACAAAAACAGGATACACATGGCTTGCACCTTCGCACAAGATCCCACACGTGTGCCGCTTTAGCAACAAATTTATTGGCATGGCACACTCCTGTTCTTGAATTGGGAATGCCGGATTAATGAGAGACACAATATTTCCTCACAATTGCTAAGCCATTTCTTTAAAATTGAACTGTTGACTTTACCTTCACAAGACCGCAGGAGAGCAGGATTATCATGTAACCTCAATCCTTTTCGAAACCACATTAGGCTCCTCTTCCCCATGTTATTGTTGCCTTTCTCGTTACTACAGCTCACAGAAAAGCTTCTCCTCCTCCCACAATTAGCAGTCCGTAAAGCAGCTGAGGGAAGAGATTTCACAAAAAAGCTGTGACCAACGCACCTAAAGCTCTCAGCAACCATGTGCTCCAAAACTGTCTATACTCAATCCTTCCTTACAGCAATCTGCCGCTTCACAGACATACACACGCGAATTCAAGAACATGTTTACCCAAAAACCTTACTACAATACCCGAACTTCAACAGCAAAACCACGATTTGTGGACACAACTCCACATGAAACGACCTCAATCCAGAGATCTCCGAACAAGAAGAGGGACTCGGTTAAAGGAGAGCGACTGATCTGTGCCACATACAAGCGAAGCGAATCCAAATTGCTGCAACTACAGACACGAGAACCTTTAATTGGATTCAAATTTTCATGATTCGGGAAGAAGACAGTGGTGAATACGCAGAAAAGGGAAATGGGATGTTGTTGGGAGGGAACTGGCTGGCAAATCAGCGGCAACCAGGACTGCGTGGCCTGTTGGGAGTCACAAGTGTGTCGCTCCTGCTGTCGCCGCAACGTCACTCCTCGTTCGTTCATTCCGGAATGAAGGGCGTCCGTTTCCACAATCCATCGCCATGTCATCGCCCCTTCTCGTCTCGTCTCACCTCGTCTGCTATCGACGCGGCGCACGCTTCGCTCAACATCACGAATCCTGCCAAGTTCGAGGACTCCCCAAAAAACCATTCTCAAACCCTAATTGCTGCAATTAATACTGTCTTTTGTGTGAGAGTGAAAGAGGGAAGTTTACTTACTATGGACATTTTCATTTTAAGATCTCACTTTTTGTGAAAGTCATGCTTTTGTTGCTCCTTTTCTTCATTTAAAGACGAAAAAAATGTGATATAGTTTTGAACAGAACAATGTGTAGAGCAGGATAACAAGATGAGTTGAGGTATTTATTTGAGAGTTGAAAGGGTGTTGTAGAAATAAATTATGGAAGAACCTATAATGTTTTTCAATGTTCGTGGGTTCAGGAGTATTTTTGGTTTAGGTGTTTTTGGGTATTTTGTGATTATTGAAATTGAGTTTAATATACAATTGTTTAAGGATGTTGGGTAAAAACTTGAAAATTAAAGACAAAAATAAAATTAAAATTAAAATTAAGTGAAACTTATTAGTTTGTGTATATATCACTTTTATCCCCAAAACATTTTAAATCCTTGGAAGTCACATTAAACAACTTCCAACACTGTAGTCATTGTATTCGTATACACATATTCTTGGCTATTATTTTAATGAACAGGATAATATCTTTGACAGTCACCTGTAAGAATGCAACACAAAGTTCTCCAAAATGTGTATTTCGTAACTGAGTCCACTTATTTCTTAATTGCTGCAGTTCTAACAAATCATTCAACACATTTGCACTCTTACTCATGCTAATAGGGCCTCTGCTGAGAGAGGCCCCAGCATTCATGAAGTTGGGCTTGGAAAGATTGGAGCTTGAGTGGGAATCCCACCCCCTTCGAGTTCAGGCCACAAATATAGTAGCACCGGAATGATATCCCTAAGGATTCATTATCCAGGGATCCTGTTTAATATTACAAGGATTTCCACCCATCATGAGATGAAAGAGTTCCAAAAAGCTGCAAAAGGAAGCATTTGCAACCGCTCCGTGAACATTCCTGAACCTGGGTTCAGGTGCGTAGATTGCTTTCTCTACAGTTCAAGTGCTTTGAACTACAAAATTGATTGATTTCTCAAAGTTGCCACTCTCACTTGTTGAGTGGGGATAAGTCTCGCAATCCAACAAAAGGAACACCTGTGGCTCTAACACCGATCATGCACAGCTTGCCATATCAACATCTTGCAGATCGTTGAAAGCCTCCAGATCTAACATTGACTGGTAATCGGGACCGTAATGGATCCTCATCACTTGATCTACTAGAGCCAGATTGCGTTGTGTTTCATCCCTGGCGTTAGTAGCTCTTGCAATCGAAACCAACTTCAGCCGCTCATTCGCCACAGCAATGTGATCCTTACCGTAGATGTTCTCAAGAATCTGCAAAACATCCTCTCAGCACCACCCAAATTGATCTCACCTTCCTCAAACAGGCAGGATTAAAAACACATTTAATCGGAAGTATTGCACAAGAACAATTCGTACCTGAATTGATATTTTACAGTGAGGAAGGGCATCATCTGGTCGACCCATTAGGCAGAATGCTTCCGCCATTAAGTCTTCTGCCTGCAGACGCCCAGTTTCTGTTAGGCCTTCTACAAATTCTAGCACTCGTCTCCTTCAGTTGCTACCATACAATGCATCGATTAAATTACAAACGGTCAGCAAGGGATCCTGCATAATTGCACCTTAGCCATCTCTTTCGAAGAAGCATGAAAGATACTCCGACATAGCTTCAAAGTATCAAGGGCTTCTTGCACTAATAACTCTTGGTTACGACTCGGCTGTTGTAGCTTGGATCGCAGACTGCAAAGCGGAATAGAAAACAAAAAGATTGGTAGATCTCAAATAAAGGACCACCTTGAACATGATAGTGAAAAACAAAATACCGAAGCCATAAGAGACAGACACTTCAAGCTACTGATATGAGGCAGTTGTAATAAAAGAGCTTGGTCAAAAAGAACCTTGCAAATTCCTCGATAACTGCATGTGCCGCATCTGTAAAATATTGCAGGTTGATTGCAGTTCCGCATGATATGCACCAGCCTGGTTTTAACGCGTTTGCCTGCATGGACAAAATTGCTGAGGAAAGAGCACCAAAGATACGTCTAGATGACAAAAACTCGACTCAGGATCTTGCAAGATATTGTGCTAGATCTACAATCTTGCACGAGGTTCAAAGTCCAGGAGAGAATGAATCTGCTTACCTCTGTTGAGTCATTCCTAAGAACACGCTGGTCAAGTTGCTTTAATAGACTGGGGCCTGGCACCACTCCATCACAGGCAGCTTTAGAGCAACGGAATGCAAACAACAATAGATCAGGCTGTGAGACTGTCTTGCACGATAGACATGCGCAAGTAAAGAAGTAGCGCGCGTGAAGCCATTCCTGCCTTTCATTACGCCGCATTTCTCCAACCTGAGGAGGAACCATAAACATGCAACGTTGAACACATAATAAATTATCTCATCAAAATCAGTGCATCACGGTGGAACTTCTAACAATATAACCATGAATATTTGGGGTAACTCACTTGAGCTCCATAGCACAACTCCAACGGAGAACCAGCTCCAATGGGCACAATAGTTCGAACTCTGAGCTGCCGATATTTGAATGATGCATGTACATTGGTACTGCATGAGTGGTTAAACTTACTCCCTAATATATAAACTCCTTGCGCAACGTTAACCTGCAACATTAACCAGCAAAGCCTTTAAGTGCAAACCTAACTATGCAGTTTAAGAAGAGAAATTTAAGGTCATTAAATAAATTAAAAAATAGCATCTGATCCGGATGGTAAGTACCTGCTCCACTTGTGATACAACGGACTTGTCAATGTTATTCTTCAGACTCGAGGTGCTTTTCGATTTTTCATCAGCAGAAAATTGTACAGCACAAATTCCCATGGCATTGGCGCGTACAACAGCTACTGATCGCACAAGCTGCAAAGCAACTATAAAATAGAGCTTAATAAACTAGAAATTACAATCGGATATCGTTGCTGAGCTATCCTAGATCCTAGGATTGCTCAACTTAAACTTGCTGGAATATTTCATCCAATTCAAATCTCCTCACTCATACCTTCGCAGCAACATCACCCAAGGTTTGTCCAAGCCAATTGTTAGCAGGATTACGGAATAGACAATGTGCCGTTACGGTTGCCATGACATGCAAATCCACCTTAGCTGCATAACTCATTTTGTTGTAGTGGTGACATAGGTCATCGAGCTGCGATTTTCATCCAAAGTCAAGTCATGAGCATTGTGACAACCTCGAAAATAAGTAAACTATAATGTTTGCATGTAAAAAAATTACGGTAATAAAGAGAGATCTCCAAAACTTTGCGATCATTTAATTATAACCGAAATTCACATTCCCTTGGCATATGCACCACAACAGTCTTAGTACAAAAAATAAAATAAAATAAAAATAAAAACTCGTATGTATACCTCTTCGCCCAAATGTGCATTGCCTTGACCACGAGCAAACAAGCGTGCGCCCAGAACTGCATCGGTTGGAAGTACAGCGGACCAGCTCGCACCCCCACACTCATGCATGTGCTCACCTTTCCATTTTTGCCCGTCAAGCTCCTCGCTACTCTCATCACAAGCAGCTCCCATGCAAGGTACATCACAGTATAGCGGTATGGCGCACGTAAAGCATACCACAGGGTCAGGTGGCAGCATCTCAAAGCAAAAATGACAGTGCGTATTTCGATGTCCCTTCAAAATCAACTGCATTCACCAAAGCACGGACATACCAAAGTTAGGCCAGAGTTGCCTGCTTGTTGTGGGGCTAACAAACTTCAATCTATGACTGGAAAGATCTTTTGGAGAGTCTTGAAGAAGAAAATGATTCACTCACTGCGGCCATGGGCTCTTCTTCAAGAACTAACGAGCCAGCTTCAAGATCTTTGGTAGCATGCATTCCCCGTTGCTTTTCAGAAGTCCAATAAGAAGACACTCCATCATGATGAAATCCTTCCCCAGATTTCCATTTAGTAGGTCCTGAGATAAATAGACGTCACTTTCAGTACAATAAAAGCAAGGTGAAAACTCGCACCGTACTTCGTAAAAAGATGGCTTTTACTACATACCTGCATTGCAGTTCTCACTTGGTATGAAATGTTTATTGAATTTCACAATAACTTTCACTTTGTCAAGTTCATGGGAAACCTGGTTTTTCCCACTGGCTGACGATTCCAGAAAGAGGGCCTTCTCCAAGTCCTCTATAGCGTTCTTGTACCAGTGCAAACCAGCCCAAGCTCGACCTCGTCTGTACCAAGCCTGCAGAAAAGAAACAGAAGAGAAAGTTCAGTTGCTGTGTTACGATCATGCTTGTACTTACGATACTACCATTATTCAGACAGTTGATGATGAGGAAGTGAGAAAGATATGCAACCGTCAGTAATTGGTAGCCAACTCATCAGAGGATTTAATATAGCATAGTCTGCATACTGATACACATACCTTTGAATACTCCGGCTGGAGCTTAATAGCTCGTGAGCAGTCTCTTGTTGCTGCCACATGCTGCTCCAAAGCCTATGTCTAAGACGATCAGTCATTAGGTCTTGTAAAAGACGCCAAGTTGCTTCAGAAGATATATGACCAGCTACAGAGGTCGGCGCTCAATAATCTCGGGTTAGTCAAAATTAACTTGGAATACAATAGCATCGACTGTGACAAATAATCTTCAAAGAGTGTCATTGTGACTTAAAACAACGCTTAACTGCTCAGCACCAAGAGTCCACACTACGAGAAATTCAATTCCAAGGGCGATTTATACCCAATCTTACATGTAACGCAGCAGCTCGATTTACAAAGAGTGTTGCTATAGTCGTCGCGTCGACCTGGGTAGCAAGGGGGGAATACCGTAATGCCTGTGCATAGTAAACATTTACCAGTATGATGAATATGATTCATTTGAAAGGATAACCTGAAATCGAACCACCTATATCGGAAATCAACCTAAGCCGCATGCATGTCAAAATAAAAGTAAGAAATTTGCGAGGATTAGGAGTATGCCTTCGTGTAGGAGTCGCGAGCCTGTTCGAAAGAGGAGGTTCCAAAAGCTGCATTGCCTTCCCTCTTGTACTGCAATGCTTTCTCTGAATCTTTTGCGCAAGTTGTCTTGTTGGGCTCGGCGAGTTGCTCAAGTAACTGAAATAACAAGGATCAACTGAAATGACATCACATGGCTTCGCACACAGGCACATTTTATTAAAAACCCCGAGTACGGTGGGTCTTATATTGCTCACAACCCGCTTGACACAATCCCACAATTGTGGTTACCATCATCTTTAACGAATTGAGGTGGTTCGGCATTAGATAGTCTCAAATTGTATGATCTAACCAAACGTCAAATGTGGAACAGATTAATTCTACGATACGAGTTACGATGAATTAAAGAAGGTAAGAAATAATCCAACAACCACTCTAAACCCTAAACCCAAAGATACACGTTCATCTCAATTTCTCGAGAACTTTCAGCTCACAATACACTACGCATGCATCCGGGCATGAGTTGGTCACGTCATCCAGGCAAAATTTCAGATCGTCTCAACTGTGTTTCAAATCCAGTGATTGATCACTAACATCAAGCACGCATCACATCAACAGTCTACAAATTCATTACAATAAAAATTTGTACTCTACGCCACATACCATGAACATTAATTGGAAAATTTACGCTAAACATATCAAGCACAAAGATCAACGACCGCAGACAAAGGCATTCATCAAACACAACATGTAACAGATATTACAGAAAACTAGCGGAAGACGAAGCCCATAACTCCACAAGCAGATGAGACGAATATATGAAAACTTCGGCAGAAATTGGGAGAAATGCTTCGACCAAGACCTGAGAGCAAGTGGCGCTGCTCTTAAAGTGCGAAGCGAGAGCAGAACAAGTGACCTCCACATCGCCAATTTGACTAGCATCGATGTGCTGCAACAAAGTCCTGGGAATCGTGGCCTTGACTGCCTCCATGCTGATCCTCCCCCACCGATTTTACGAGGCACCCACAAAAGGCCTACTTACACCCTCACCATCACCATCGCCCTGTCACTCCCCTTCCAAAGCAACACTAACTTCAGCTCACGCCCCTCTTTCCAGTGTCGACTAAGCTTCGATGTAAAGCTTCAAAGCTGCAGAGAATCACGGTGAAGCTGCGAGTGTGGACCAATCTGTACAATGGTGAAAGTGTTCAGGTGTGTAGGGAAATCAACTCCCCCATGCACACCGGGAATCGAAGAGGAAACAATCGACAATAGACGTCAAAACCTTGAGAACATCGGTTCTTTACGTTTTCATCATAAAATTGTGCACATTTCTACCATACGATGAAAAGCCGTGTCGGACATTTTCCGAGGAAGGGAGAAAAATGGGCAATTGAAACTACCACAAATCCAAACACTGAACAATTCTATGTAGAGATTGGTGTTTAGTATTGTTATAATTATTATTATTAGTATTATCATTCTTTTGATCTTTTCTTTTGTGGTTAAGGTTGTATCTTGAAGTTGTCGCTAATACTATATGAGAGTGTTGTTGGAGCTTCCTCATAATATGATTGTTGGCTGCTTCCAATTACTAGCACATTACACAGCTTTATATGTATTTAATATTTTAAAATAAATACTTAATATTTTGTTTATTTATTGGAGTTGCATAGATGAAGAAGTTGATTACCAACTGTGAATATAAGTCAAGGTAGCATTATAGTATTGTTTTTGTTTTCTTTTGAATGTTTGTAGTTTGAATCCACAATTGTTTTTTCAATGTGTGCTTGGTGTTGTTTTAAAGAACACTGAAATTAGAAAAATCAATTGATGGTTTTAAGATATTCATACATATAAAGTTAAATATACCAAAATCATTACAAAAGAAAATTTGAGATGGTTTCATTGTAAACAAAAACAAAAAAACAAAACAAAAAAACAACAATTTTTTTTTTTTCAATAATATATGTTATTTTATGTCAAGGACATAAATTATAATAAGATCCTAAAGAAGCAATATACTCTTGTAATACTCAAAAAGAGCAAGTAGAAAAATAAAAAATAGACATAAAACAGAAACTAAAATGGATATTGCATAATACAAAGACACTAGAGATTCTTGAACTAAGACTAGAACATAACAAAAGCATTGACAAGAGTGAGCAAGATCTCACTCTTGCCTCCATTTATACAATTTATAAAACATCTCTATAAAAAAAATTAGTTAGATAGTATGTACTATCTAACTAAAAAGTTTTATAGAGATGTTTTGTAAATTGTCTAATAAGTGCCCAACTTATAAGATAAGTTTCTAACATGTATGTAACATAGTTAAATTGTACAACAAGTGCAATATGTGGCCAAGTTTTCAACCTATTAATTACTTATAAACATTTGTTTGGTCAAATCCTATATATAAAGCTTCTCAAAAGTTTCTTCATAAGATATTATCATATTTACTTAATTCTACTTACTTCTCTATAATTTCACTTGTCTTCACTAATGTTGATATGTCTATATCATCACCCCCTCTTTTAGGGATAAGTTCTACAAAGAGCACAAATAACATGTTGAAAAAGTCCAAAATACAACAAGTTTTAGTTACAATATACTTTGATTTTTGCTTACTTTGCTCGTAATTGATAGGTCCTTTTAACCATCAATAGTGTCCTATATCAAAGCAAAAAAATCATCTCTATTAGTTGATTATTGTTGTTAGGGACATATTCCTTAGAACTTTCTAGAGAGAAGTTTCTAGAACCTTCTAGAAAACAAGCCTTTGGAACCTTCTAGAAGAGAAGCCTCTGGAACCTTTTAGAGAGAAGTTTCTAGAAGCCTCTAGAAAGGAAGTCTTTGGAACCTTCTAGAAGAGAAGTTTCTAGAAGCTTCTAGAAAGGAATCCCCTGGAACTTTCTAGAAGCTTCCTAGTTAATAGAAGTAGCTCGAGAAGTTTCTAGAACCTTCTAGAAAAGAAGCCTCGGGAACCTTCTAGAAGCTTCCTAGTTAATAGAAGTAGCTCGAGAAGCTTCCTAAGTAGGAGTATATATAGGGATCGAGGCTGAAGAGTTCTTCAGTCTTGACAACACATCTCTTGGAGTTCTAGCTCACCTTTCTGGTGTTGTTCTTGTACTCATCTGTTTAATCTAGTTCTGCCACTTCTTCTTGAACTTCTTGTTAGATTTCAAGTCTGTATTTTGTGTCCGTGACAGTTTGTCGAGACTACACTAACTTGAGATATGAGAGCTAGTTCTTTCTTAGTAGAGTGTGGATTACCCCTCTACTTGAAGGTATACTAGCATTTTTTAGAGGTTGCGGATTACCTTCCTCTAAACTGATACTTCTTTTGTTACAATATTGGAGTCTTAATTTTCTTGGAGAGAGTCGATTATCCCTCTTCTTGAAATTCTTAAGGTGTTTTATAGGTTGTGGATTACCCTCCTATAAACCAATATTGCCTCTTATAGGGTCATTTTTGTCCTTCTTTTAGAATGGCCGGAGGTCAAGACATTAGTATGACAGAAAGTTCGGAGTCTAAGTTAGATGCTATTATGAATGCCCTCGCTACGTTATCACAAAGAACTGCAGAGATTGAAGGAGTGGTGGCAAGGCTTCATAATGATGGAGTATCTGGGATAGCACAATCTAAACCACACCAGCCTCAAATTTCGGCACTTGGAGAAACAACTTTATCTCAGGTTCGACAAGAACCACTAGTTCTATAACATAAGGAGCCTCGAGTTAGCCTTCCAGATAAGTTTGATGGAACACGTTCCAAGTTTCGAGGATTCATCAATCAAATCAGGTTGATAACAGTTTTACAGCCCGAACGATATCCAACGGAGGAGTCACGTGTTGGGCTTGTTGGAACCTTACTTACGGGACAAGCTCTATCATGGTTTGCTCCTTTGTTTGAGAAACGATCATCCATATTAAACAACTTCGAAACCTTTTTGGAAGCATTTGTGGAAGCATTTGGTGAACACGATAAGGTTCGATGGGCTACAACAAAGATCCGGTTGCTACGACAAGGGATGCGTTCTACATCAGTCTATGCTTCGGATTTCAGGCAATTAGTATGCGACATCAATTGGGATGAAGAAGCGTTGATGAGTCAATTCTATTGGGGTTTAAGAGATGATGTGAAGGATTTGCTGTTAACTCTTCCTGATCCACGAACGCTCAATGAAGCCATTAGCCAAGCTGTGAAGTGCGATAATCGCCTATTCCAACGTCGCCAAGACCAACGCTCAAGACAATATACAATTTGCCATGCTCCAACTATGTCGGCAAGCGGTGTGAATTCATATTCAGAGGTGGAAGACATGCAAATTGATGCGGTACATATCAAATCTCTTACTATAGAAGAAAAAAAGCGACGTATGGAGGAAAATTTATGCTTATATTGCGGTGGAGAAGGCCACAAAGTCGGAAACTGCCCCAAAAAGCAAAATCGAGTCATAGTCAAGACTAGGGGAGTATTTGTTCAGGAAAATGAGGATGCCCAGCTACAGTAGGAACCGTGCGGTTGGACAATGAAATATTCCAACAACAATCAGGTTCCTTTCTTTCTGCCCAACCTGCCCTTTGTTTTACAATCCCTCTGTTTATCAGCCCTCAAAAACTGAGAACCTTAGCACTACTAGACTCAGGAGCATCTGCTTGTTTTTTAGACGAAGAATTTGTAAAGCGTCATAAGATCCCTTTAGTACAAAAATCAAAACCTGTTCATGTTGAGGTCATAGATGGGCGACCTTTATTGTCTGGTAGCATCACCCATGAATCAAAACCTATAGAAGTAACGTTTAAAGACCATAGTAGTCATATTATTTTTAATATTATTAGAACCCCATCAAATCCTATTATTCTTGGTCTTTCTTGGTTAGAAAAACATAATCCATTGATAGATTGGAGGTTGCGGAAGATGACTTTTTCCACAAAACCACCCAAGAAAAAACCTAGTAAAAAATCTCGAAAAAAGAAATCCTTATTCATTGGAGCAAGAGCGTTTATAAGATCATCTAAGGAAGGCACTCCATTTGTCATTTATGCGGCTCCAACTACCGAGGAGAAGATCTCAATAGCAAGTATACCGGAGCAATATAAAGATTTTGAAGACGTGTTTCAAAAGAAGAACGCCGACATACTACCGGAACACCGACCATATGATTGTGCCATAGACTTGCAAGAAGGAGCACAACCACCTTTTGGCCCAATCTACAATCTATCGCAAACGGAGTTGGCAGAGTTACGAAAGTACATCGACGAGAATCTAGCCAAGAACTTCATTCGTCATTCAAAATCATCAGATGGAGCACCCATCTTATTTGTGAAGAAGAAAGATGGATCATTACGGATGTGTGTGGACTATCGAGGCCTCAACAAGGTAACAAAGAAAAATTGTTACCCATTACCCTTGATTTCTAGTCTCTTAGAACAACTTGGACATGCGAAGATCTTTACAAAAATTGATCTAAGGGGAGCTTATAATCTCGTACGAATCAAGGAAGGAAATGAGTGGAAGACAGCATTCCGTACAAGGTATGGTCATTTTGAATATAATATCATGCCTTTTGGTCTTACCAATACTCCAGCGGTTTTCCAACATATGATGAATGACATCTTTCAAGAACACCTCGACGATTTTGTTGTCATCTACTTGGACGATATTCTAATATTCTCTAAAAACGAGGAAGAGCATGAGGAGCATGTTCGTTTGGTCTTGGAGAAACTATGCAAGCGAGGACTATATGCCAAATTAGAAAAGTGTTTATTTCACCAAACGGAGATGGAATTTTTGGGATTCATTGCGACTACAGAAGGTTTGAAGATGGACCCCAAGAAAGTAGAAGCAATCATGTCTTGGGAGGTTCCGAAGACGGTTAGAGACGTACAATGCTTTCTTGGTTTTGCTAACTTCTATCGGATCTTCATCAAGAATTATTCTCAAGTTGCTGCTCCTCTCACTCGATTAACATGCAAGGATAAGTTGGAATGGGGACCTTTGGCGGAGAAGGCGTTTCAAGATATGAAGACAACATTTACTACAGCTCCAATTTTGGTACATCCAGACTTTACAAAGGCCTTCTATTTAGAAACTGATGCTTCAGATTTTGCTTTGGGAGCTGTGCTTTCATAAATGAGTGAAGATAAGAAGCTCCATCCAGTTGCATTCTATTCTCGGAAGTTCTCTGCTGCTAAAATCAATTATGAGATCCACGATAAGGAACTTCTTGCTATAGTGGATTCTTTCGAAGAATGGCGTCACTTTCTTGAAGGAGCTGCACATCCAGTAACCGT